CTTTCGCCGCAGTCCACCAGCACACATCCAAAGTAGGCTCACCAAGCCCACTCGGAGTGGCCACCTCGGGCCGGCCCTACACCTAAGGCCAGCCATATGGGTTCCTCTTTGTTCACCGCGGGAGACCAAGCCACGGCTACTAAGCCCCCCCCACGCCAATACAAGGCTGGAACCCGTTCGGGGGGGGGGGGGGAGGGCACAACCTAACCTAACCTAATCTTGAAATAATACTAGTTTTTACGGAATTTATTGCGTATATTTAACTTTTTAAATACCCGACGTTTCGAACGCTTTACAGCACTCATGGTCACGGGCGGGACTGAGATGTTCAACGTCCATATGTCATAGTTAACCGCGGTTACCATAGATTACAATTTAACTTTGAAACAGTAAAATAAACCGGGAGATAGGCCGCCAACGGGTTGTTTTAAAAAAAAAATTATCGATATCTCGAAAACTAAAGATTTCCGGCATACAAAGCAGCTAGATGGTAATCAATAGCATCATTGCCTGTATAGCAGCATTGACTTTAAGCTAAAATGATCACTTAAATCGTGCAGCAGATTTCTAAAGCCGACCCAACGTCTTTTCGTAAATTAGGTTATAAATAATAACGTCCTATCGTGAAATTGCACTAAAAAGCCAATAAAAGTTTATTTAGTTAGTTCACGGAAATAACAAAATATCCAAGAAAACGTCTAAACAAACACACAAATGACATGTAGAAGTGACAGATAACGACAGTAACATGACAAAATGGCGACTGAGAGAAGGAGCATGAGGTGCGAGGGACGAGGAAAACGTCACGTAATGAATTGCTCACTGCATTTCATACGGTCATAGATTTTTTAAATATGGCCAACCTAACAATTACTGCCAACCTCCACGTCCAGTCAATAAAAATACTTGTAACTTGTAATGAAGCGATGGACAATCTAAAGAATAACTATATTAATAACCGAAATCATAATGTTAAGAACTAATGAATCATGAAGTGACTTGTACTGAATTTTATTAAATAAATGATGGTTTTTATATTGATTTAAAATAATACTAAACTCAATAGGTTAAATAAAACAAAAAAAGTAATAGCAATAATTTTTAAATAAGACAGTCTCCCCAAAGACTTTAGGTCGTTTAGCAAGTTTGTCAGCATATTCATTACCAGATATAGCAATATGACTCGGAATCCAAACAAGAGAAATGTTGATGTTTTGGAATTGGTATAAGAATAGACGTTTCTTAACTTCAAATATCTAAGGATTACGGGAAATGTCATAGAAAAGATTGCATAACAATGCCTGTAAAGAACTAAGAGAATCTGAAAATATCACGCTTGATTTTAATTTAAAAAGATAGCAATATTTTATTGATTGTAAAATGGCTAATATTTCTCCAGTAAAAACTGAAGATTCGGAAGGACTTTTCATGTTTTGAACCATTCTCCAATTTTGATGGTATATTGCGTAGCCAGTACAACCTTTAGAGTTAATTAAGATTAATAATTTCTAAGGAAGCATCTGTAAAAATATAATGACAATCTGGGAAATTCTTGTTCAACGTAAATACAAATTTTTTATTTGGTTTAATAGAAAATTTATTTAATCCTATATCTAATATAACATTGGTTGGTTTGGTTTTCAAAAGCGCAACTTCAAACGAATTGGAGAAAAGAGGCAGAGTCACCGACCTATAAATAGGATCTAGTAAGGAATTCTATTGTTCATAGCTTTTAACTAGGTTAGGTGTTTCTTTATTACGCCAGTATTTTCCTGAATTAATCGAAATGTACTGAGAAAGCAAACGAATTTGGGGGATTAGTGGATGGTTGGAAGATTGAAGAACCCGATAAAAAAAGGAATCTGATAAATATTGTCGTCTAATAAAAAGTGGAGGATCACCGCATTCAATCTGCAAGGCATTAGCATAGGCGACGAATTCATAGCGCCTATAATTAATTTTAAAGACTTGTGTTGAATGATATCTAATATTTGTAATCCTTTTTTATTACCCTATATTTAAAACCCGCTAATGGGTTCAAGAAGAGATGAGGCATAATCTAATCGACTTCTTATAATTGCATTATAAATAAATTTGAAAGAACATGGATGAACGCCCCTCCATACCCCGCTCTTATAATCCATACAAAGCTCTTAGAATGTTTATATTTTTTTCGCATTTTTTTTTCGGGTATAAATGATATGAGGCGTGCCGGATAATTTATTATCAAGAATTACACCAAGGAATTTAACTTGCTGAATATTTACGAGCGGTTAATTAAAAAGGCGAACCTGGATTTCAGGTAAAACTCTTTTGCGGGAAAAAATTACTGTATTAATTTTGTTTGAGGAAAGTTCTAGTCCATGATCATCTAACCACGAGGCCATAGAGAAGAGATCTTGTTCTATCGCATTAGCCCGGGATTCTATACATTCAGTGGCGAAGCTAGGGCTCCAAACTAGGGCAAGCCCAAGATATGGTTTTGTTGTTTTTAGCAGCTTAATAAAAATACACCAATCTTGAGCTGTCTCCACTCTTTAGTTTCATATTCAGTGCTGTCAAGGACGTGTTTAACAAAGCACACAAAGCATACTACCGCTAGATAGATTGTATGACATATGCATGCATGCATTTATAATAAACCGTATAAAATGATATTCAATTCATAATAAATCGTACAAAATGATATTTTTAAACTCATATGGTAATATAAATATTAAATTAGCCGATAGCGTATTTGTGCCATCTAGCGTAATCTTTAGGTGCCATCGTGAGAATCATCCAATTTTCGTTCGATAAAATGACTTTACCTATAGAATTAAGTAGATGGCGCTATTAAAATTTTATATACTGGAAATAACTAAAGGGAGTATTCTTTAAAAACCTCAATACATTCTTCTGTATTCTTTTGATTTATTACATTAAAATTTGGGCTTCACGTTAAAAAAAGATTGTAACACTTATTTCCTATAAAATTAAACCTAGGTGTCTCATATTTTATGCTGCCGTTCAAAATGATATTTTTAATTCGTATGGTAATATAAATATTGAGTTATTAAACCTTTAAATACGCCTAACTTAATTAACCTTTAATACTAAAGAGTCCTGTACCTATATTTGAAGTATGAAGAAATGTTTATTGAATATTAAATTTCATTTTTAAAGATTTTACCTTTTCCTCGCCGATTAGCACTTCAACACACTTATATTCATCACAATGAACACTATTATCCTCCCATTTTCACTGAAAATCTTTGGAAAAGCATAAATTTTTAATAAACACAATAAAAACAAACATAAACATTGAAATGTGAAGTGAACTTGCATACGAATGGCCCGCACCCCATTCGCTAGTCGCTAACGCACTCCTAAACAACTTCAAGGCAAAGCCAGTCTTGTGGCTCAATAGTAATTGCTATATAAACATTTCGTAGTTATATTTCATTAGAGTACATTTTGCCACAGGTTAGAAAGGGAGCGATCGCCTTCTCGAAAGCCCGGTAAAAAGCCCACGCGTGCGAGGGAGAAAACCAATCGCTCAATTCAACTCTCCTTATATGTATGACAGCAGTATTCGTAAGGCTACGAGGTCGAACAGAGTGCGAGGGAAATTTGAAATAGTTTGAAACAGTTTACGAGTTATTTTATTACTTGATATAATTGATTGATTCATCTTAATGAGGCAAGCCGGGCTTCTGGGCTTGTAAAGAGTCTTCGCCACTGTATACATTCATCATTAACATAAACTAAGATATCATCAGCGTATTGTAAAATTCTACACTTTGAAATGGACTGATCTAAATCTGACGTATAAATTTTGTATAATAAAAGACTTAAAACAGATCCTTGTGGAAGGCCTTTGAAAACCTTTCGAGTATATTTTAGATCATCATCAATTTTAATATGTATATATCGATCTAGAAATAAATTGATAATCAAATTTGTAAGTTTTTTTAGATATATTAAGCTTAAACATCTTTTCTCTAAGGATGTTAAGTCTGACATTATCGTAAGCAGAAGAAATGTCAAGGAGAGCACAAAGGACCGATTCATTTCTCGAAAATGCTAGTCTAATATCTGTGGTGGAGATAGAAAGACTGTCATATGTGCTTTTACCTTTTCTGAATCCATATTGAGTATTTGATAACAATCTATGACTTTCTACGTACCATTCAAGACGGTTCTTGATCATATGTTCAAAGGTTTTAATTAGAGTTGAGGATAGAGCGATCGGTCTATAGGAAGAACCGTCGATAGGGTTTTTGTCAGGTTTCAAGATAGGAATAATTACTTGAGTCCGCCAAGAGTCAGGGACAAAGCCTATGTCTAACAAAACGTTAATGATATATAAATAGTAGGATAAAATTTGATCATTACATTGGGCAAGTAGTGAATATGGAATACCGTATAAACCAGGAGCTGTATCGTGAGCGTGAGAAAGGACGAGCTCTCATTCAAATTCAATTAATATAAAGAAAATGGACGTTCTAAGGGATCAAAAAAAGAATCACATGGAATACTTTGAGGTAGCTCCTCTCTCAAAGGAGCAGAAGAGGGGGCAAGTTTATGTAGAAAAGTGTTTATAGATTGAGAGGGAATGGCACCACTGTAAGAATAAGATGAAAAACAACAGCGAAATATTCTAATATTACGCCAAACATCACATAAAGGTATTGAAGGAGAAATTGAGGAAAAAAAGGCATGCCAACTTGATTTTTTTTTGTGTGAAGAGAATTTATAGTCACTTCTTGTATACGTTGAAGGTATGTATAGTTTTCCGAACTCATGTCTAATTTATATTGTTTTTCGGCTTTTTTCCTATTACGAATGGTCGCAATACATTCAGATTCCAACCATGGAGGGGAGGGTCTACACTTATTATTTAGAGTTTTAATTTGTGTAAAGTAAATTAAAGTGTTAATTTAGGTAATTTTATCGGCAATTTTTATTGTCACGAACCTCAAGCTCGTAACAATTGGTGTCAGAAGTGGGATAAAATCATGCCGATTTTACCTAAGGAGGAAACGGAGGGTGTTCGTACCCGCAGTCAACGCCAGCATGAGACGGACCAGAGAAGATTTGGTGGTGCAACGCCGCAGACGTCGGAAGGCCAGCCTCCGGCAACGGAGGCCGGTTCGTCAGTAGCTCCTGCATCTGCAGCACCTGATTTAGGTGCTCTGATGGCGATGCTACAGGAGCAGCTGCAGCGCGGACGAGAGGAACAGGCCCGTCTGTTGAAAGAGCAGCAGGAAGAACAGGCTCGCCGACAGGAGGAACAGGTCGCTTGAAAGAGCAGCTGCAGAGCGGACAGGCAGAACAGGCCCGCCGACAGGAGGAACAGATGCTTCTCATGAAGGACCTTCACGCTACCTTCGGGAAAGAGATAAGGGAGGTGAAGGATAAGGTTGCTCAACATGAAAACCGCCTGTCGGAAGCTGAAACCCGAATTGACCAAGTGAACAATCGGGTTGACAACGTAATGGCTGACATGAGGAAATCACTTGACGAACTCAAACTTGGGGAGGGAAATACAGCTCCCGTAGTAGCTACTACACCTTCGCTACGTGGGTTCAAGGTGCCACCATTCGACGGGACTTCTTCCTGGTCAGCCTACAAAATCCAGTTCGAAGCTGTTATGAAGGCGAACGGCTGGAATAACAGTCAGGCAATGACTGCTCTCACACTAGGCCTGCGCGACCAGGCCTTAACAGTTCTGGAAGCTCTCGGGGAGGAAGTGACTTATGAGCAACTCCTTGAGGCATTGGAGGCGAGATATGGCGACGCTCACCTGGAACATGTCTTTCGTGCGCAGCTTAAAGATCGCGTGCAGCGCATCAACGAAAACCTGCAGCAGTGGGCTCTAGAGGTGGAGAAGCTGGTGCGGAAAGCATACCGGTCTGTACCTGCGCTCATTGAAGGGAACCTGGTGCAGACATTCATCGACGGCATCCGCGACCTGGAAGTCAGAGCTGCTGTGAGGCTCGGGCACCACGAGACGCTTAAGAACGCCTTGGCCCATGCACTGGAAGTGGAAGCCGTGCGGCAGGATCATCGTTCCCATCGCGTCAGGGAGGTTGCGGCAGCTACAGTTCGCGACCGCAACAAAGGATACAGCCCTAGGTGCTATGGCTGTGGGGAAAAAGGCCATCTTCGAATCAGCTGCCCTAAGCGAACCGTGGAAAGGAGAGTTGATTGATCTCGAGAGGGTAGTGCAGCTAACGACACTGCCTGGCGGCGACAGGATCATCGTTCACCTCACGCTAGGGAGGTTACAGCAGTTACGGTTCGCGACCACAATAAAAGATACAGCCCTAGGTGCTATGGCTGTGGGGAAAGGGGCCATCTTCGGTCCAGCTACCCTGAGCACACCCTACGAAGGGAAGGTGAACGGTCTCAGAAAGGAAGTGCGGCTAACAGCACCGCCCAGCAGCAGCAGGAATACGACTTTACTATCAGACACTGCAGCGGGAAATCTCACGGCAACGCAGATGCATTGTCAAGAAGACCTTGTCCTGAAGATTGCAACCATTGTAGTAGGCAAGAGAGTAAGGAGGTGGTATCCGTGAGGATGCTCAGGAAAGACCACCTCAGCAACGGGTGGAAGGACAACCTACGACATGCACAGCAGGAAGATCCGGACATCAAGCCGATTCTGGGATGGATGAAGGCCCGTGCTACCAAGCCTAAGTGGAGGGACGTCTCAGCGATGAGTTCAACCACGAAAAGCTATTGGGCCCAATGGGACAGCTTGCTGATTCAGGATGGAGTCCTGTGTCGTAAATGGGACAATGGTCGAAGAGACAGCTGTCGTTTGCAAATGGTTGTCCCTAAAGCTAAAGTGCCGAATGTTCTACAGTTGTGCCATAATGGTCGTTCAAGAGTCCATCTGGGAGTTAAACGAAATCTACTGAAGGTCCGAGAACAGTTTTACTGGGTCCATTATCGTGACGATGTCGAGGATTGGTGTCGTACATGTACAAGTTGTGCGGCCGAGCGGGGACCTCTGACACGTAGTAGAGGAGCATTGAAGTTGTACAATGTTGGTGCACCATAGGAGAGAATAGCCATTGACGTGGCGGGGCCGTTTCCGGAGAGTGAAAGCGGTAATAAGTATTTCATGGTTGTGATGGATTACTTCACTAAGTGGCCAGAAGTCTTCGCCATTCCAAATCAAGAAGCTTCAACAGTTGCAGATAAACTAGTTCATGAAGTCTTCTGTCGTTTTGGAGTACTTAAGATAGCGATCAAGGAAGGAATTTTGAGTCTCAAATATTCCAGGAAACTTGCCGAGTTATGGGTACTCATAAAACAAGAACGACTTCTTATCACCCGCAATCTGATGGAATGGTGGAACGATTTAATCAGACATTGGAGAGGTACCTAGCAAAAGTTGTAGACAATCGGCAACGAGATTGGGACAAGCACATACAACCGTTTTTGTTGTCATATCGAAGTTCTGTTCACGAAAGTACAACAGTGACACCAGCTTTCGCAAACTTTGGAAGAGAATTACGGCTGCCTGCAGACCTGATCACCGGGATACCACCTGATGCTCCACGCAGTATAACCGATTATGCAAATGACTTGCGGAAAAAAATGAATGACGTTTATGAGCACGTCAGACAATCGGGCCAGCAAATGTCTGAAAAGATGAAAACCCGGTATGACCGCAAAATGAACAACAAAGGGTTCGACGAAGGTTCACTTGTGTGGTTGCACAATCCAGTCCGCAGCAAAGGGAAATCTCCTAAGCTTCAAGCTAAATGGGACGGCCCGTACCGGATTGTAACCAGGATCAACGATGTGACCTACCGGATACAGAAAGGCGCAAGAGGGACTCCTAAGATCGTCTATGTGGATCGCTTGGCGCGTTATTATGGGACCGATAATGCTCGGGACGAGCATGTCTTAGGAGGGGGCAGTGTTGCATGAATAAGTCAACTAGCGCTATCTAGTGTCAGGAACGAGAGCGAGGGGAGCATTGAGAAAATGACATCACGAATCACTCAACCGACAGCGCCTAGTCGAAACTCGAACGCTCGGTACCTTGCGCGTGTTTACTTGAACATTCTGGATATTTCTTTGCTAATTTAAATATATAGGCGCTGCAAGATGCGATGGAAGTAGTGTTGATTTGGCGAAACAAGCGAGACGTCGGAACGGAATTAAGTGAATTAGTGTGTTTAATTATTAGTGTTTTTAGTTCTAATTTGTGTAAAGTAAATTAAAGTGTTAATTTAGGTAATTTTATCGGCAATTTTTATTGTCACGAACCTCAAGCTCGTAACATTATTTTCAGAAATAGAAGCGATTTTGAGAATGTCATTGTAAAGAAAAATATTGTACAGTTTCCAGTCTGCTCTGTCTAATTTGTAGTTAATACATGGTTTTTTGTTAATTTCTGCCAATTCTTTGTTCGGAAAAGAAATCAGAATAGCAAAATGATCACTGCCGTGAGAGGTATCTAGAACTGACCAATTTAAAAGAGAAGTTAAATCAGGAGTACAAATTGATAAATCTACTTCTAGGCTCACTAGGACGACAGCGTTTGGTAATTTTACTAGTATTAAGGACGCCAATATTAAGTTCGTCAATTATTTCAACCAATAAATTGCCGTATCTATCACTATTATCACCCCATAAATAATGATGAAATTAAAGTCACCAAGAATTATAAATGGTTTGGGTAAGGAGGCTATTAAAGATTTTATTCTGCGAAACGTATGGGCAGAAGGGGAGGGAACATAAATAGAAACGAAAGTAATATTTTGAATTGTTACTGCTACAATATTAAAGTCAAATATTTCATCATAAATATGTATAATGGAATAAGTAACATTATTTTTTATAAGCAAAGCACATCCGGTATAACTATCAGATCTGTCACATCGAACAAAACAAAAACCAGGGACTCTGATTTTCGAATCCGGTTTCAGCCATCTCTGAAATAGCAGCGATACACACATTGTATTTTTAAATAAATAAATTATTTCAGTTTATCTAAAATGCTTCTACAATTCCACTGAAGGATTCTTGTCAGAGTGAATGTCATGAAGAATTTTAGGTATAGAATTTAGTAAGCGAGCAACGTGGGACGGTAACGTTGACGAATACGAAGATATGATTATGATAATAAGGACATTTATAATACTTTCTACAGAATCAAAAACACCCCGTGAAGTATCTGGTAAAACCCGAAGAGCACAACCATCCTCGGGTTGCGGAATTGAAAAATGTTCAATAATTTTTTGATGACTTTTTTTGTCGTATCCTGTTTGTGAACGGCGACGGAATGGTTTAGAAATATATAATGATTTCTTATAAGAAGTTTTATGCCGTGTAGTGGCGGTTAAGAATATCCACTACCCCATATCTTCCCGTGGGTGTCGTAAGAGGCGACAGAGGGAGACAGGCAGGAGATGGGCAGCAGCATCTTCCTGATAACAGCAACTGTACGACAAAAAAAAAACTGCGGTTGCCAACCCGCTCGCCAAGCGTGGCAACTATGGCAATATACCCCCCATGAACAATTACACAAATAGACGGCCCCCAGTCCCCGGCGGCCCCGCTATTCCTGGCTACGGTGGCGACCATGGTAACGGCGGGGCAGGGGGTGCTAAGAATCTCCGGTGGAGGTTCGGTTGCCACCTACGACGACTCGACCTGGCAACATTTAACGCACGCACACTGAGGACTGACGAGAAGATCCTGGAGCTGGAAGAAGAGATAGACAAGTTGCGCTGGAGTATTATAGGATTATCCGAGGTCCGAAGAGAGGGGGAGGACACGGTGATTCTCGAATCCGGCAACTTGTTCTATCACCGGGAGGGCGACCATCTGTCCCAAGGAGGTGTCGGATTTATCGTCCACAAGTCTCTCGTCAACAACGTTGTACAGATTGAGAGTGTGTCGACGAGGGTCGCGTACCTGATACTCAGAATCACCAAACGGTATTCGCTGAAGGTCATACAGGTTTACGCACCAACGTCGGCACATTCCGATGAGGAGGTGGAGGAAATGTATGAGGATATTTCCAAAGCCATACATTCCTCCAAAACCCACTACACGGTGTTGATGGGAGACTTCAACGCAAAACTAGGCACAAGAGAAAGCGGTGAGCTGAAGTTAGGGAAATTTGGAGTAGGGCAACGGAACCGAAGGGGCCAGCAGCTGGCCGACTTTATGGAGAAAGAGGGACTCTTTATGATGAACTCTTTCTTCCAGAAGCGGCCCCACAGGAAGTGGACCTGGTCGAGCCCCGACGGTTCGACAAAAAATGAGATTGACTTCATTATGACGACCAGACGCCAACTGTTCAGTGATGTCTCAGTGATCGCAAGGGTGAAAACTGGCAGCGATCACCGAATGGTTAGAGGCACACTGAACCTAAACGTTAAGTTGGAGAGGTCTCGTCTAATGAAGTCAACGCTCCGTCCCCCCTCGTGCTCTGATCCAAAATCCCGAAAACTTTCAGCTCGAGTTACACAACCGCTTTCAGTGCCTACAAGATTGCAATGCAGTGGACGATATGAATGACAAGCTCGTGGAAACTGTCCATGCGGTCGGAGCTAAGTTCTGCAAGACCCGCCGCAGAAGAACACAAAAACTCTCCGATCACACTCTTAATCTCATGGCTGTTAGACGGGAGATGAGGCTGCAATCGTCAACAGATTTGACAGCATACAGGCAACTGAACAGACAGATCTCCAAATGCATGCGGCGAGACTTACGCAACTTTAATACTGCTCGTATTAAAGAAGCGATCGAGCGGAACCAGGGCTCCAAAGTCTTTGCCAGAGATCTGTCTGCCAGAAAGAGCCAACTGTCAAGGCTGAAGACTGAGTGTGGCAGCATCGTTTCCGGGACACCTGAGATTTTGAGTGAGATTGAGAGGTTCTATGGGCAGCTGTACACATCATCGTTGGAGCCACACGCAAGTGTGAGTAACGATCCAAGAGCAAGTCTTATCCGACACTATTCCGATGATATCCCGGACGTCAGTCTAAGCGAGATTAGAATGGCTCTCCAGCACCTTAAAAACGGCAGGGCCCCAGGCGAGGATGGAATTACAGCGGAGCTTCTGAAAGCGGGTGGAACACCGGTACTTGAAGTCCTTCAGAAGCTCTTCAATTCCGTCCTCCATGGTGGCACTACTCCAGAGGCGTGGAGCAGAAGTGCGGTGGTCTTGTTCTTTAAGAAAGGCGACAACGCTCTCTTGAAGAACTACAGACCGATTTCCCTTCTGAGCCACGTCTACGTGCTGTTTTCGAGAGTCATTACGAATCGTCTCGCACGCAGACTCGACGACTTCCAGCCTCCCGAACAAGCCGGTTTCCGAAAAGGCTTCAGTACCATAGACCACATACATACCCTGCGGCAGATTGTACAGAAGACTGAAGAGTACAATTTGCCACTTTGCCTGGCGTATGTGGACTATGAGAAAGCCTTTGATTCCGTCGAAATTTGGGCGGTGCTGCAGTCCCTTCAGCGGTGCCAAGTTGACTGTCGGTATATTGAAGTGCTGAAGTGTTTGTACAGTAGGGCTACGATGGCTATCCGAGTACAGAACCAGAGCTCGAAACCTATCCAACTGCAGAGAGGTGTAAGACAGGGTGACGTTATATCCCCGAAACTCTTCACCGCTGCTTTGGAAGACGTTTTCAAGCTACTGGACTGGAAAGGATACGGTATTAACATCAATGGCGAGTACATCACTCACCTTCGATTTGCCGACGATATAGTCCTTATGGCAGAATCGCTGGAGGACTTAAGCACTATGCTCAATGACCTCAATAGTGCCTCCCAACGGATAGGTCTTAAGATGAACATGGACAAAACAAAGATTATGTTTAATGTCCATGTCACACCTATGCCGGTAGTTGTTGGGAGCACTATGCTCGAAGTTGTTGACGAGTACGTTTACCTGGGACAAATAGTCCGACTAGGTAAGTCCAACTTCGACCGAGAGGTCAATCGACGGATTCAACTCGGCTGGGCAGCGTTCGGGAAATTACGACATATCTTCTCGTCAGGTATACCTCAATCTCTGAAAACTAAAGTGTACAACCAATGCGTGTTGCCAGTGATGACTTACGGATCAGAGACGTGGTCCTTCACTGCTGGCCGTATGAGGACGCTCAAGGTCGCTCAGCGAGCTATGGAGAGGGCTATGCTCGGAGTTTCTCTGCGTGATAGACTCAGAAATGAGGATATCCGCAGTAAAACCAGATTGACCGACATAGCCCAACGGATTAGTAAGCTGAAGTGGCAATGGGCCGGCCATATAGCTCGAAGAACCGATAACCGATGGGGAAGAAAGGTTCTCGAGTGGCAGCCTCGTACCGGTAGGCGTAGTGTAGGGCGACCCCCCCACTAGATGGAGTGACGACCTGGTAAGATATGCAGGAAGTCGATGGATGCAGGTGGCTCAGGACCGTGCTTTGTGGCATTACTTGGGGGAGGCCTATGTTCAGCAGTGGACTTGTGAAGGGCTGTGATGATGATGATGATGATTAGATGTAGCGGGGGAAGGAAAATTATCCATTGTAGAATTAGTAGAAAGCGAAGAATTTTCGGTGATTTTTGAAATCAAAACATCAACATATGATTTTGAAGAGACTTGGGGATATTTTTGAGATGTTTCTAGGTATGAGATTGAATTTTGTGCCATTTCAATTTTAATATTATTTTGTCTTGTGTGTTCAGGACATCTAGAATCAGTGGCTTTGTGGTTACCTGAGCAAAATAAGCAACGAAAAGATCCATTCATTATCTTTGTCGTAAGAAGAAGAAGAGTGATCAACCCCATGAATCGTAGGAAGCTTATAAATTTCAACATTCAACGTAACGATTTCAAATTTCAACAGGCAAGGAAGAATAGCATAAATAAACCCTCGAGGGAAGAATTTGACCGTCAAATGTGATTACGACACTTTCAAAGCTTTCATATCTGACTTTGTCCTCGTTGCGAACTCGGTAATTTAATCTTCTTACTTTTAATACAGGAATGGTGTTTGGATACGTAGATAATTCAGAAATAATCTCTTCTGGTGTCCAATCTTTAGGTACACCTTTTTTAACTCCCATACGAGATACGTGAAAGGATGGAATAAACATTTTATATTTATCATTTACAGATGGATTTTCTAAAAATAGATTTGCATCAATAAACTTAGAGAATTCTATCGTTATTCTATTTCTCCCGATACGTTTTATGCCTCCAGTAACTATATTTTGTACATTTAATTTTTTGAAAAAGTGACCAAATGAAATAGCATTTAAAGTTTTACCAAAATTAGGAGAATCTTCTTTTACTTGAACATGAACGATAATCCTGACCTGAATCTGGAGAACTATAAGGACGAAGAGACACTTTGTCCTGCCATGTTGCCTTTGATAGAGTTCTAACTCTATCATATAATTTTAATTTTAGATGATGAAGTATTGCAAGTATCGCAATCCGATTCTGAGAATGAGTAATTGGTGGAAAAAGCTGAAATTCTTCTATTTATGTCAACCCGATTAGCATGCTCTTCTTTCGTTTTATGTTTTATTTTCTTTTTATATGAAATAATTTTGAAGTTGTTATCAAAAATTTCTTGAGATAATAACTGCCATCGTTTTTTAAATGAACGTTCTAAATTATTTTGATTTCAACATAAGCAGTTGGTGAGAAAATAATGTTATTGTCAGAACAATTCGGATCCGGTGGCTTTGGTGGAATCGGATTAGACATGGTGACTACGAGAGACTGAGGCTACGTTAAACTGTTTTGTGATAGTATGAAATTGTCGCTAAATGAGATACAATATGAAAATGCAGATAAATATTATTAATATATACAAAAATATATTATAAATGTAATCAGAATATTACAAGAAAACTTAAAATAATTAAAATGACACCAAAAACGCGTAAAACCGTTATTGACGTTCAGTTGACAACTCAGGTCATAGATTATTGCTGAATGATTACCAGCCGTGGTAGCAAAGATCACATGGAGAGGACAGAGGATATAACCTCATAGGGAACCTTCCTTAACAACCAACGCAGTGTTGCCATTACAATACAATATTATATTACATTCAATTAATCATTGTTAATTAACAGGTTACTTGACTTTAACTTTAAAAATTCTACGATACGTATTTATTTTTATACAAAATGAAATTAATTCCTTAAAAGTAAAAAACCCTCAAAAATTAGTGAAGTAGAAGTGTCTTACGTGGTAGAGCCACGCTGCAGCTGTGTTACAGTTGTAGCACGAATGGGTCGTTTCGAGCGGGGAGGGACCACGATTGAACAGAATACCAGCTTGATACTGCTGTTTCATATGGCGACTGTAAAGAACTGGAAACCCTTCTGACTGGTGACAACGCATCTGCATTTTGGTTCTTAACTGAAGATAGATATACATGTCTATGGGTCACAGCATCCACTTACCGACAGGTACACGGTATGCCCGTCCGTCACCCTTATTCTATGAAAAAAAGCATAATTTGTTTTAGAGAGTAACATTAAATGAAACAATAGAAAAATATAGTCGGAAATGCAATTTTTATTACTTTGAAAGCATAGTCTTTACATAAAATCACCGATAAATCGCTCTTACTCCATTCGTTCCAACAAAACAATAGTTACCGACATATTGCCATAGAATAAACGCAGCGAAGTGTACCTTAGCAGTCTGCGAAGCAACACTTCGCTGCGCTTGCATGTTACACTAGCAATCTGCAAGATTTCAAATGTGTACGAAACCTGCTGGTATAATATCGTAGAATACAATATAACGCTACAGTTATGAAAATAATATTTATATACAGCTAGTTACAGTTCCATATAAATAACATGAGTGTTCGCTTACGCGAAAATTGTATCGCATTGTATAACAGAATTAAGAATTCTACAGTTAGTAAGGTATCCTACGAAGTGGATCGTAGATGAAGTCGGTCTACGTTTCGGGGGTTAGGTTAAAGTTTCAGTCAGTCCCAGTCTTGTTATCTTTTCCGTTAATTCAATAACCACGACAGTGCCGTTACGTTACTTAAGCGCAGGAGAATAAAATTCTAAAAGCATATTTACTTGTCGCCGTTCAGTCTAATAAGTTCACTTTCAACAATTCAACCTGATCCCCGAAAGTGGAACGCGATAAGTGGTACAGTATTCCAGAGTAAAATGGTAACAAATTAGGCATTTTATAAGACATACGTTACACTTACACACGCAAGCCAAATGCCGAATGAAAACACACCTCCCTATCCATATCGCAACACATAAATTATCTCGCTAAAATAACATTAAAAACAATAAGTAGTTGGTACAACGTCGTTAGGAACAACTGCGCGCACATCGACAAGTGCTGGCAACATTCCGGTTTCCCTTAGGTCTCTATTTTCACCAATTTATATACTTGCGAGCGAAAAATAAAATCACATAATTGTAAAATAACAGAATATAAAATTAGTTTGCCGATAATTGACTAAATTATTATTTTCTTGCGATTTCCGTAGCGTTGCCAACACTAGTGATTTCAAATCAAATCGATCTGCAATATTAATTGAGGCGGATACATTTAAAAGAGTCACAGAAAGATCGCGAACTATTATAAGACAAATTCGACTACAGCGCAGTGAATACAAACTCCAAGCCGACTCAGCACCGTTGTTCAAAGACGTCCGTCGTCAGTGCAAGCTAAAGTGGGCTTTATTTACAGTGCGATACGGGCGAGATCAGCCCGACCGCGTCCCTACACCTAGCACGACACCTCCGCTACCGATAAAGCTGCACTTACGCTAAAATATATTATTCATTTATATATCCCAACTTAAAGTAACACAAAATATACTTCCTCTTATAGTACTTATATATTTGGTTCTCACTACAGTAAGTAAATGACAGAGTTCCGCTCGGCACGTTCTGTACGGGCCGAGGCGAAGAGCACACCAGCGCACACGCTCGTACATACGCACACACTACGTGATCACACAAGTCTTACTTACTTTCATTTACATTTAATTATTTAGTCTCGCCAACAACAACTGAGTGTATATGTGTATTTCACCCCCCTTAGTGATTGAATTTCCCAAAATTCTTTTTTTAGTTGGTATCTGCGTCGAGAAAAGAGTATATGTGCTAAATTTCAAATCAATCGAGTGTATAATTTTGGATATCTCATGATGAGTGAGTTCGTGAGCGAGTGGCATTTTGTATTAGTAGTTTTTTTTTCGATTTAAATATAATGTTCTTTTTATTATTGGCATTGGCATCTATGACATGATTCCCACAAGTCCCAGGTTGATAGCATTCGAGTGAGTGTGCGCTGCGGCTCAGTACAAAAGGTTCGTATAGAAAGTTGCTAATGTAGGGACACTTGATGCGTGAAGAGCAAAAAGAGATTTGTCCCTATCGGAATTTAGATCCTAAAGCTGCTTGTTATTCTAACATGACGTACGCTTGATCATTTATTTTTAATTTATGTTTAAGTTATGTAGTGTAATAATATATATTTATTTTCAAGTTATGTATTTTTTACAATTGAAAGTTAATTAAATCGGGACAATACTCTCACGAGTGACAGTTCTATGAACTCACGAATATATTATAAATACGAGGAAAAATCACACCGGATACTTACAAACTAAATATTATGTAAAAGATTGTTATAATATCATCCATATATTATATAACTTAAATAGAAATATTTTTAAAACAAAGCGTCATTAAGCTACGCTACGACGATACCTCTGTTGAGAAGCTGTCCTACAATAAAAATAAAATCTAACTCAATTAGGTTTTCGCCTTATCTCTGAACCTAGAAAAGTTCAGAAATTAATTGATAAAGGACCTAAATGCCCATCTAAAACATATAAATTACGTTGGCAATGTATAAAAAATAACCATAAGATTAGCTGCACAGGTATCATATAAAAAATTACTTAAAAAATTAATTGAAAAATCGAATCCCCCAAGATGAATTGCTACAGGGATATAATGATTATCACATGTAAAGCGTTGTGAATATAACAAATATATCAGAAAAGCACCGCAACAGAGGCGCGTCGTGAAAATCTCGGATCGAATAAAATTAAAAATATCAACAGTCATACATATAAAATTATGCCGAATAAATAATTCGCAGCACGTTCCAACTGCAGAAAACTATTGTATAACGTACTGCTGACGCACACACGACGTACAGTTCACATGTGAGAACGGACGTTGCGACGAGCCGAGACATTGCTCATGAAATACTTCTTTTGAATATTAATAAACACAAAATGGAAAATTTTAATAGAACCAGGCGTTACCTCGCAGAAGTCCATTATATTAAAGTAGGTAAAAATCATTTTGATTACATCTGTTTAATGAAATAAAATGACGTGTCTTATGTAGTTTGAAGAGCACTTCCCGCCCTCCTGTCAAAGGTTTTCAGAGGTTAGCTACCGCAGTCTCTTTGACTTGAGGATGTCCGGCGTGGAGGCGACACAGATAGTGCACTCAATTGATGGAGGTCCGGACGTGTTCCTCAATAGATAAGACACATCACTTTATTTCATTAAATATAAGTAAGCAAAGTAATTTTTACCAACTTTAATATATTGGAAATTTATTATCAGAGTCACGTCATTTTACCCACCGAAATTGTATTAAAGTAACAAAAGTATATCAATAGATTATACATTTTTAAATAAACAGGTAATCATAACCGATCAATAAAACTTTTGTACAATATCATTTATAGTGATGCGATATGTTTTATATTTATAATCGACGGTGGGTATGGTGATAGCCGAGTTCGGTTGAATAAAATGGCGCAGCATGTCGTCACGTGACAAATGAGTGCAGGGGCACGTCGAAGTGGGTCGCGGCACGTTGCACGGCGGTCAGCTCGAGGCCGGGCTCAGCCGGCAGGCGGTCCCAGTGGTCCCGGACGTCCGGCATGTCCCGGGCGCGGCTAGAAGAGGCGGGCGCGGCGTTTGAGCTCGTTGCGGCGCCACTGCGGCAGGCGGTAGAACTCGCTGCGCGCCACCTGCAGGATCGCCTCGAACTCCGCGTCCGACAGGTGCCGCTGCACACACACGCGCAGCCTTACTCTCATGTCCACACATAAACACACACACTGTCGCAGATAAACACTACATATTATATTTGTAATGTTTATCTGTAACAATGACAAAGACGGTGACATCAATACAAATTATAAAAATCATTGGACCTGACTGCGGACCTTGGGGTAAACCCTATAAGATGTAAAATGATTTTCCATTTATTTATTTATTAGTGCCACAATGATAATGGCGATGAGAACTGAACATTTATGCTTAAAAAAATTTATTCTCCTTTTAATCAAAGCTACTCAGCGAGAATTTATTCTTTTTTTAATCAAAGTTACTCAGCGAGTTATGTAAAGGCCTTATACACTAGTACATAGGCTGCACTAAAAGTATCGGGAATGGAATATTTCCACTGTTCCTGTCATATTAAAATCTTTTACTTAAATTTGAAAACTCCTTGGTTTTAAAAATCGAATACCATTTATTTATTTAAAAAAAGATTCTCGGTCTTGTCACAAGGTTTAGTCAAACTTGTTTAGTCGTTGAGAAAATGGAATTGACTCGAGAAAATTCAAGAGCGATGATTATTATGACTTTCGAAGTGGTTTAACACAAAAACAGTGTGTTGACCGGATGATTTCTGCATTTGGTGATGAAGCCCCATCCAAAACCACAATTTATCGCTGGTTTGCTGAATTTCAACGTGGACGTGTCAAGCTCAGTGATGATCCCCGTCAAGGTCGTCCAAAAACTGCAGTCACCCAAGAAAACGTTGATGCTGCGCGTAAGCTGCTTGAGGAAGATCGACATGTGACATACCTCGAAATTCAGGCTACTTTAGACATTGGCATGAGTCAAATACAAATAATCTTGCATGAACAATTAGGTGTCAAAAAGTTGTTTTCCCGATGGATACCGCATTCGCTCTGTGAAGAGCAAAAAGCGGCTCGCATTACTTGATGCGTCATAACTCTCGAAAGATTCCACGCAGGATCCTCAAATGCTGTATACAACATCGTATCAGGTGACAAATCCTGGATATACGCGTACGAACCCGAAACAAAAAACCAGTCATGAGTTTGGGTGTTCGAAAATGAGTTAAAGCCAACAAAAATTGTTCGTTCACGGAGTGTTGCAAAAAAAAATGGTGGCCACGTTTGTCTCCAAAACCGGCCATGTTACGACTATTCCTCTTGAGGGACAAAGAACGTAATGCAGAATGGTATGCTAGCATTTGTGTGGCAAACAAATGCTAGCTAGGTCGTTTCTGAACTCCGTAAAGAGAACTGCAACCGCCTCATCATTCTCCATCACGACAATGCGAGTTCTCACACCGCACACAGAACAAAAGAGTTTTAGAGCAAGAAAACACAGAATTATTATAATTGATAGAATCAGGCGTTACTTTGCGGAAATCCATTATAATAAAAAATAATACGACACAAAAGTGTTTCTGGGAAACCGCCTCTACACGAGGCATCTTCAGGTAATTATTGTCGATGGCGTGTCTTGCCTGGAATAGTGGTGTTGGGAGTAGTGGTGCTGGGACTAGTGGTGACGGATTTAGTGCATGCAATTGAGGGAGGGCGGGAGGTGCTCTTCAATCCAGGTAAGACACATCATTGTATTTGTTTAGCGGAAGGTTGCGAAGAAATTTATATTTTTATTTTTTTATAGAATTATTAAACCATCCGCCGTACAGCCCCGACCTAAGCCCTAGTGATTTCTATACTTCCCTAAAATAAAGAATAAATTGCGTGGACAGAGATTTTCATCACCTGAAGAAGCTGTGGACGCCTAAAAAACGGCCATTTTGGAGACCCCAACTTCCGAATGGAATGGTTGCTTCAATGATTTCCATTATGTTGTCAAATTTCGCGGAAAATACTTCGAAAAGCAATAAATACATTTTTAAATAGTAATGTTGTGTCACTTCCTTGATTTCCGAAATTTTTAGTGCCGCCCTCGTAGTATAGCCCCACGACATTAGAATTACTGTGATAGCGTGGTCTTATTTCAGTCAAGCTGACCAATTCCTGTTGCAACCATAATATACCTTCAGCATGACTCTACCACGTTAAGAGTTAAGATTATCCAAATAAGTGAATATGCGGAGAAGGGGAATATTTGAGCTGATAGTAAATGATCGTAAATCAATGAGTCTGATTAGTTTAAGAGAAGTTTTGTAAGTGGATTGCAAAAAAGTTCATGTAGCATCGGTAAGGAGTGACATTTGATTTTAGCCAGTGGGAGTGACTCGAGTGCATGTGCATGGTTGGTGCGTTACCTCCAGATTGAGGCGATCGACGTCAGGCGGCAGGCGGTAGTTGGTGATGAGCAGCAGGTGGTACGGGTAGAGCTTGGCGGGCTCGTGCAGCAGGTGCGACGTCGCCATGTTGGGCAGCGAGCGCCGTACGCCTCCGCCGCGCGGCCCCACACCTCCCACGCGCCCCCCCACGCCCCCCGCGGCCGCAGACACCGCGCCCCCCATGCCCCCCACCACACCACCAGCCGCACTGCCGCCGCGCACGATCACTCCGCCCTCCGTACTCTGCGTTAATCAATATGACCCCATATTAACAACTACCCATATCGTTTCTCATTTAAAATGGTTATCCTTAAACCTCAAAGAATGAAACCTCCCTTTATGTTAATATCGCAGCAAATATCTATTTAAACTGTCAAATACGATAAAAAAATAAGTCTCTGAGGGGAACACTGAAACTGTCATTTTGCGTCAACACTTTGCTTTTTTACAAGTAAAACAACATTTTATACTTTAATTTAATTAAAACAAAAAAAAATGGTACAATTAAAAAAGATTCCCGATAAAAGGCGATTTTACTCTCTTATATAAGTAATATTTTAAATTTTCTTAGCCTTAGTGTAACCACTTCGCACATTATTCCACTTACAAATATCAAATCGTATAATGAATCAAAGAAGTACAAATAATATGAAACACTTTACCAAAATATAAGAATACATTACAGCCTAAGTTCACTGCAGAATACGAGTATAAGCCCTCACCATAGACTGCCTCAAAGGAAAGATCTTGCTCTTGGTATACTTGCCATACTTGCTACGCTTGGCAAGCGGGTTAGCAGCCGCAGTTTCCATTTTTACTCGTTATTAGGAAAACACTATGTGCCCATCTCCTGATCTATTTCTCTCTGTCGCCTATTACGACACCCACGTGATGTTGTGGGGTACTGGATGTTCTGACACCGCCACTACGCGGTGAATGAGTATATAATAACTTGTAATATTTCACTGGTAATTAAAATGCTACAACACTTACCACAGCACTTCTATCGACATCTGTGATTGAGCCGGCAGATACTGTAACACATACATATACATCTCAAGATATATAATACTAATTTGCTTATTTACCATTAAAATACTATAAATATGTATTGTCTAGCAGATCTTATTTACGTGTTTGTTCTAGTTACTCTTACAATTTTTTTTAGTACAAGTAGTAAATACAAAGCGGTTCTAAAAGTTAATAATATTAAAAATAATCAACAAGTTAAAATTAAACAATGCATACAAATGATTAATAATAATGGAGTTACCTAATTTAAAAACATTATGATATTTTCTAAAATTAACAACATGACACTCAGTGAGGAAATTATAAACTGTCGTAATTTAACCGCTTTACTGAAAGCTTAAGCCTCGGTGCTAGAACGTTACAAACAGCCTGCACTAGCTTCGCTCTGTCTACGGGAGTTATTGCCTACTGAATGCTGCTTGTCATGATTCGAAAGTAAATGTCAAAATGCAAATTTTAAAACGTAAAGTGATATAACCGTGGCAATTTTAGAAAGTTGTTCCTATCTACTTGTATAAGGAAAAATTAACTGAATTGGTTTATTAACATCACTACCACTATCACTACTGCCCATCGTCTAATTTGCCCAATTTAAACAAATGACGTTTACAAAGTAAGTCATTAATATAGACTAGGAACAGAAACGGACCGAGAACGGGTCCTGCGGAACACCCTCTAATACACGTGACCCGGAAGAACTTTCAATATTGATAATATATTTTTAAGTTTCATTAACCTAAGTATAAAATAATAAGTTTAAGCGCTTTATCCTTGACACCATAGGTCTATAGCTTCATGATAAACATCCCATGGTGAACACAGTCGAAGGCCTAAGAAAAGTCACAACATTTGGTTCCGACCGTATAGACAGTTCATAATCATCATTACAGCCCTTACAAGTCCACTGCTGAACGTAGGCCTCTCACAAGGAATGCCACAAAGCACGGTCATGAGCCACCTGCATCCATCGACCTCTTGCATTTCTTACCAGGTCGTCACTCTATCTAGTGGGGGGACGCCCTAAAGTTCGCCTGCCGGTATGAGGCTGCCACTCGAGAACCTTTTTCCCCCATCGGTTATCGGTTCTTCGAGCTATATGGCCGGAACATTGCCACTTCAGCTTACTAATCCGTTGGGATATGATGGTTACTCTGGTTCTACTGTGGATAACCTCATTCCTAAGTTTATCACGCAGAGAAACTTCGAGCATAGCCCTCTCTATAGCTCGCTGAGCGACTTTGAGCTTCCTCATACGGCCAGCAGTAAGTATAGACAGTTGCTACAAGTTTATTATTGACATAGTCTACCCCATTGTGGATTTTCTCAGCAATGGGAACGATTTTCTATCTCGATCTTAAAGCCATCGGAATTCTGAATCAGTACACGAGGATGTCAGGACATAAAGCTTCAAAAAGTGACAAATCTCTAGTTGTTTTAAAATTATTAATATAGTAACTAAGGATACGATTAATGGAATAAAATTAATCTATTCTTTTAATTATAGTTTTATTTTGGAATATGAAATAAAATGAAATGAAATTTCATATTAATAATATGAAAAATTTCTCTCATAGGTCTTTTACGCCAATTGTACTTAATTTTTAAGCTAGTACGAGTACCTGGCAACAACGCGTATATTTAACAACTTTCAACAAAATTGCCACTGCCGTAATTTTTAATGTAAAATTAATATAAACTTTAAAAGTGCAAAACATATGAATTATGTAAATTTGCATAAGTGAAGCAATATGACAATGCTGCATCTACTCTCCTCTCGCTCCAATATAAGTGAAGACATCAGCCTGTCACTCTCTGGCAAGGCTCGCGTTACTTACTGCAGAGGTCCGTCCGCACTGTGCGCATAAAACCAAATTATACCAACCATTCTTTATACTATTTTCTGTGTTATGTTAACGTGGCGGGCTACAATAATTATTGTTTATTAATATTTAAACAATAACAATAGTATTACATTGAATGCAAATATTATGCACATCCATAATATCCATATTGGAGATATAAAAAAGTTTAATGTATGTTAATTGGTATTAAACCTTGTAGTTTATCTCTTAACTAGTTTGCATTTTATACAGGTGAACAAAATATTTGTCTTTTATTAATTCATTTATGGACCAGGATGTCTTTCTCATTTTTATGAACACGTAGTAACTTTACGCTTAAATTTAATAAGATTGGGGGACAAAAAGTAAAAATTACAACATCAAACGTCTAGCTGTACGTCCAGGGTGTCGAGCTTTAGCTAAGGTCATACGCTAATAACTGTCAAAAATGATACGGTATAATACTTACTATCTGACTTGCCGCTACTGAAGTCTGTGCTGTGTGTCTTGTCACCCATGCCGCTGAATGTGAAGTCACCCTAATATTACATTGAACATGTTAATATATTCATACAAGAGTAAAGCATAAAAAATACAATTTAAAGAATCACCAGTTATTTTTAATTTACAAATATATTAGGGGACCCAATCTAGAACCTTGGGTGGTTCCATTCCCCTTAGAAATAGTGCCACTCACGCTCCCTTCGCGGCTGCGTTCTGCACGCTGCCGCCGTGTTTGGCAATACAGGTCGGCCGCTTGCAACGAAATGCGGTCTTTCTTTGTATCCTATTCATGGGGGCGGGTTTGTTTCTCGCCGGGTGATCCTAGCGCTGCTGCCGACTGTCACTAATGTGGTGCTACAGGGAATGAAACTATTTATTCCATCATCTGTGATACCCATCGGAGGCAGATCTCAACCTTGGTTTGATCGCTCCTGTAAGACTGCATTACGCAATAAGCAGGAGTGTTATCAGGCCCGGGCTGAAGATTCAGCGGCTCGTGATGTAAACACCAGCAATCTGAAAAAGAAGTATAACTTCGCCCCTAGGTCCTTCAAAAGAGTTATTGTCAAGGCAAAGTATGAGCACATTGGCATAATTGGTCTCTCGATAAATAATAAATTTCTGTGAGCCATCAGTACCATCTCTGCACAGGGAGGACGACTCACTGGCTCACGCCGTAAAAGAGAAAGCCGATCTTTTACGATCTCTTTTTACGTCGAACTCTACTCACGATGACGAGGGGAACATACAGCCGACTATCCCGCGGTGTGAGTGCTTTATTCCCGATGTGCGATTCACAGTGCTCAGTACGAAAAGTATTCCTCTCCCCGGATATCCACAAGTCGAGTAGGCCTGACGGAATCCCCCCAATTGTGCTGACGACGTGTGCTCTGGAGTTGGCACCGGATCTAACGCGTCTTCGTCCGGTACTCTTACTTCCTAGGCGTAGTCTCGAATTCATGGAAGAAAGTTTTCGTGTACTCGATCTCTAAAAATGACAATCGCTCTGATCCGTCCAAGTACAGACCTATCGCCATAACCTCCTTGTTCTCCAAAATAATGGGGTCCATTAGTAACAGCCAGCTTCATGAAGTACCTTGAGGAGCACCAGCTGATAAGTCACGGCGGCTTCGGTCGGGATCACTCAGCTGGTGATCTTCTTATTTATTTAACACACCGATGGGTGCAGGCGATCGAGTCCAAGGGGGTGGCTTTGGCAGTTAGTTTGAACATAGAGAAGGCCTTCGATCGGGTTTGGCACAAAGCGCTTCTCTCTAAGCTTCCTTCCTATGAGCTTCCTGAGAAATTGTGCAATCGGATCACCAGTTTTCTGGCTGATCGGAGCATCAAAGTCGTAGTAGACGGTGCATGCTCCGATTACAAGCCTATTAACGGTAATGTTACACAAGGCTGCGTGCTATCACTAACGCTGTTTCTTCTGCATATCAATGATATGTTGCAAACTGGTAACATTTATTGCTACGCAGATAACAGCACTAGTGATGCTTTATACATTGGCCATGTCAGTATTTCTAGAGAAATCGTCACCGAGTACCGGAATAAACTTGTGTCTGAAGTCAAGACATTGTTGAGCAAAGTCTCGGATTCGGGACGACTAAATCAAGTCCAGTTTAATCTATCGAAGAAACAAGTTTGCGTGTTTACCGCTAAAAAGAACCCATTTGTCGTATCTCCTCAGTTTCAGGGTTCTTGTTAACTCAGTTCTTGATACCTCAGCCAGTATCGGAATCCTCAGCGTCGACATATTGAATGACGTGGAGCTTCGTGGTCACTTAGAAAAGAAGGCCGAATCTGCCTATGAAAAGCTTGGCGTGCTCATCAGAGCGGGACAGTATGTAATGCCGGCACATCGCCTGCAACTATACAAGGCCCAGGTTCGGCCTCACATGGAATACAGTTCCCATCTCTGGAATGGAGATTCCCAGTGCCAGTTCCTTCCATTTGATCGCATCCAGCGCAAAGTGGTGCGAATCCTCGGCGACCGAGCATTTTCTGATCGGCTTGACTCACTGGTGCTGCGAAGAGATGTTACATATCTTTGCATATTCTATCGTATTTACGGCCAGTGCTTAGAGGAATTGTTCGGACCAATTACAGCCGGTCAATTTAAAAATCGCGCATCGTGACAGAACTTGAGATAATACCCTTACCACCCGAATGATTGGAGGTCTACTGCTGTGCGATTTACAAGAAGTTTTCTTCCTCGCGTAACTTTCTTAAAGAATCGACTAGTATCAGCGTTTTTTCCGCACCGATACGACTTAGGGACCTTCAAGAAAAGAGCCTATTCCTTTTTAAGAGACCAGTAATGCATCTGCGATTTCCCTGGTGTTGCAGTTGTGGGCGGTGGTAGTCACTTAGTCTCAGGTGAGCCGCATGCTCGTTTTCCCTCTCATATAAAAACAAATTAAATTTCTATAACATACTAGCGGATCCGGCGCGTGCTACTACGCAAAAAAAGACATACATTTTGTTTATTTCTTGAAAGAAAAGGAAATGATGTCAGCGTTTTTTTTTTTTAAATATATAGTGCCTAACGCATTGTTTTAGTGGTTTAAAGCCATCTTTACATTATTGCCTTCATAATGAAACCGGTTTGGAGCACATCGGTTGGATGGTTTCAATGTCTATAACGGACAAAGGTAGAAAAATTTTTTGTTTTATCATATTTCTATGACATATAAAGAGAAAATCACAAGTACTCTTGAAATTCAATAAGAGGAAATTTTTGTTTTCGTAGAGGAGATTTAAATTTTGCACGGCTTTGGTAAGGAATTCTCTTAAAAATTTTTAATTTAAGGATTTCCTTTTCATCCGTACATAAAACTTGCGCTATTTTGATTGCGGCGCGTCCGAAAATTTACTTTAATATGGCTGAAGTCCCCTATAAATTTAAAAACATATCTGACGAAGAGAAAGGAGGAAGACAAAGGGAGACTGTTTTGGCAGAGTGGGAGTATACTCACTGCAGTGCTGGAGGAGAACGTGTGCGACCTGGCTGCGAGGCCGTACCCGGGCCGTGGCGCCGAGCGCAGGGACGACACCACTGCAACACGAGCTGTACTCTACTACTATGTTCCCTCACTCTACACACTCTACCACTTATGTTCCGTACCCGAACCACCCAGATCCTGTCCTGCCTACCCTATTTCCGCACTGTTAGCATCGGGAAACATTATCGGATTTCTGCTAAGATTCGTGTTGTAGTGATTTGCTTGATTAAACATTAGATAAATTTGGTAAATTTGCGCGTTAAAGAATTTTGTTACCTCTGTCGTGATTTTTCTTGTACGCTATTACAGTTCACAAAGTGTAATAAAACCTTTTTTAAACCAACTACTAATTTAAATACTTGCGAACCTACTTTAAATCATCTTAAATTTGCCAAACAACTAGTTCGTAATATAGTTAATATTCTACTTGCACTACTATTACTATCATCGGTTATAGAGAACGAAACGGAGTTTGAACACGAAATTTTAATCGCGACGTTGTTAATATTTTTCCGATAATGTTCCGCACCAATAAATCTTACTTATTACTAACCGATCAAGCCAAGTAGACAATCATCAAATAGGGCAGGGAAGCCCATACGTCTAATTGCGTTGGTCGACTTGTATAACTTAAAACTATTGAGAAGCTACATTAGTTGCTGAAAATTCAGCAACCAATGTAACTAGAGTATGAAAAAAGTTTTACTTAACCTAATAATAAAATAAGTCGGGGCACAGGCACTAACCGCAACTTCGGCTCCAGATTCTTATAATGATTCTTCTTCATTTTAAGTAAAAGGATTCACCCGTACAACGATATGGAATTTGATTTTATCTAAGTTATCGATTTTAAGAGACAAATGTGGTTGTTAACGACTATTATATTGATTGTTGTCTCAAAAGTAGCTTTACAAGTTTTATAGTACTTTGAGCCGTAAACCGTGATTAGAACTATGGGCCGTAAAATTACGAAGTTATCATGGTTACGTGGTGCACAGCCGAAGCAGCTGAGTGCGGGCCCGTTACCTGACGTACGTGGGCGAGGCGCGCGCCGCCCGGCAGCGTGCTGCAGCGCGCTGCACACACACACACACACGCTCACTACGCGCACACGCCATAGCTCTCTCTACTCAGGTGTCCGAACTTAACACCTTCGGAGGACTATCGCATGCGCACTAACCTACTAGGTCGCAAAATAATGCATTCTCCGATCATAAAATTACTCTTATGCACAATCCGTAAAATTATAATTTGTCGTTTAATTTCTTTTATATTATATTAAAAGTTTAAAACAAGTAACTGCCGGTCCTAAATACACGTTGCATAACACAGTTACCATTCAACGCTACGTAAAACAAAAAACTGGACCTAAAAGAGATCCCTGAGAGACTCCGATTTTTTTTAATCTTAATAAAGTGTAAGAAATTGCATTTTTTAGTATTTTCTAAGCTTTCGCATCTCATCAAAGTGTGTATTTTTAAACATGAATGCATTATTTTTTCTGTTTACATTTAAAACAGTCACATAACTAAGACAACATCTTCAACTTGTGAGACTTACGTGCAAATATTGGCAGCCATATACTTTCCAAATATTGCCATCGAAATATTACTACAAACATAACGTAATTATGTGACCGTAAAACATGCTTAAACATTACAGCAAAATAACGATATTATTATATTTATAATCAAAATATAAAAAGTAAAAAACTTATCCAACCACCGGAATCAATACTTCAAAGTAAAAAATATATCAATTGCTACCAAATAAAAAATATTCTGATACAGTACATTCAAATTCATAATAAATGGGCTATTATAAATATATATAATAATATAATATAAAAATACATAATATAATAATTATTGTACAATAGAGTGAATTGTCAGTTGAAAAAAGTGTGTAATTGTTTAATAGGTATAAAAACCATCAAACTGAATGAAAATGGACGGTAATTTTTCATAACCAAATCAAATATAAATGTAATCGTATAAAAGGATCATAAATTATATAATGAATAATGATATAACAAAAAGCATCACGATACTTTTAACATAATAAATAAAGCAGCAATGATACAACGCCGCCAAAGGAGTTTCAAATTAACGGAACTACTGAAGACAATGTACATACTGAAGAAGTAAAAGTTTAAATTAAATTAGTAAAAAAAGTTTAAATAAAATTAATTAAATTAAACATTTAAATACGTTTAAAAAGAAAAATGATAATTTATCAGAAATATTTTAAGAAGCAGTATTAACAGTTAAATTTTTATATAGCATTGGGTGACAAACGAGCACACAGTCCACCTGATGGTAAGTGAATGCTGTATGGCCCCACAGACATCCACATTTATCTTCAACTAAGGATCAAAATTCAAATGCGTTGTCACTTCTGAGGACTAAGATGGAATGCCTCGATTTCAGTCAAAATATTCTCCGGTTCTCCACACTCATCATACGAAATACAGCAGCATTACGCTGTTATTTTACTCTGGTATTCCGTTAGAGCGTAGCATTTGTGCTACAACTATAATATAGCTGTAGCGTGACTCTACCGTGTAAAAAATAGTAAAAAATTAGTACTATATTGCCTGCTATAAAACTTTAAGCTACAAGATTTATTTACAATGTGGCAAAATTATATAATTTTGGTCCTCCGAAGCGATAAGGAATAATATGGCGGCGTCATTAAGCGTAAAGCCAATTTATAAGTGAGAGTACCTTGCACGCAGCAACATCATCTTGAGTATTTAACGCCGAAACAATTGCTAATTAACTATATAAAATAAACACTCAGTGTACTGTTTCGTTTTAATTGATATTATTGATGTAGCTTTTTTTTACTAAATTTGAAGAAGAAAAAAACACATATTAAGAAATTAGGTTTCAAAACGAAACAAAACACGTGCTTATTGTAATATTTAAATAATTAAGTGCGGAAGACAAAGCTTAGAAAGACACATCGAATAAGTTAAAATATAAAAAATAGTTCGTTAATCCCTTCAATAGTGAGACATATAAGAGAATCATTTTTAAAACACACAGAAGAGTTATTGAAACTCACCATCGTTTATATAATACGAATGTGTTCGTACTGCAAGAAAGACCTGCTGTTAGATTTCTATGCCCTGTCATTTGCTATAAAAATGCTTGAAATTTTGTCATAAAAAAATAACTCATGTCCGAAATAATAATTAAGATATGCCGAATTACATTTTATGGATTCGATTTAATTTAATAAGTAATTCATAAAATGTATTCTAGACTTATAACAATCGAAAACGGTTAAGAACGTTTTAGAAAATATCCATTCTGGTCCGATTGGTTAAAATTAACGAATAAGTATGACAATATTCAAATAACAGTTACGACAAAATCTCAATGCTGCAATTCACCCAAACGAGTTTATTGTGAAATATAGTAGCGGATATTGTATGACATATATGTTAAATATTATAAGAAGGATTCAAAGAAATTAATATAATAATATTTGAAGCATTTACTTGAGCTGATCTTAATTAATATCCGTTACTATGCGGAAATATTAAACGTAGAGTTTGAACAGATAGACAGGCAGGAAAGTTCGGTGATAGTTTTGCGATTAGTTAACATTAGTAATAACAGTTTTGACAGGCATGATGAATTATTTTACATTTGGTTAATACATTTTATAGTACATAAAGTGCAAAGTCGTCTTATATTAAGCATATGCCAGTAATAGAGGTCGCAACATCCTTCGTCACAAAGATCTTAATTCTGCGAGAGTTACGGAACAGAGAAGGGTCAGTCACGCTTTTCCAATGCGGGTCAGTAGACCCTTCTTTGTTCCGTAATGGTGATATCTGGACTTTCTGGAATATTTAATATTAATTCGAAAATAAATATTGCATAGAGTTGTGTACATGTATTTGTGAATGAAGAAAGTATGTATGCGTACTTATATGTGCAAGTGCGTTTCATATATATGTGCTGGCGTATGTGCTGATAAAGAAGGGTATGTGCGAATTCGAGGTGTTGCTAATACCATCTGTGCGTATGCGTTTCACTAGGAGTTTTTTTAATCTTCCGCGTCTCTATGTGGAATCTTGGAATCTCTCTGTGGAATAATTTAGCACCGGCGATTTTTCCGGACCGATACGACCTTCAAGAAAAGAGCTTACTCCTTTCTAAAGAGCCGGCAACGCATCTACAATGCCCCTAGTGTTGCGGTTGTTTATGGACTGCGGTAGTCACTTAACATCAGGTGAATCGTATGCTCATTTGCCCCCTCTTCTATATCCGACACGTGTGGGTAGCGTTGTAAGAGGGTATGTGTATGGGATGCGTGTGCGTTTGATGCAGGAAGAGTTGTGCATATAGATTTTGTGAGTTTGTGTGTGTTAAGCGGTGAGGGTATGTGTTAGTGCGAGGCGAGCGTGGTCGCGGCGGTGGCGGGGCAGTGCGGCTCGCATTCGAGCGTGCGCGAGGTTGTGTATACGTTTTTTTTGTGTGTGTGTGTGTGTGTGTGGTGTGTGCGCGTACGTACCGTTGTAGGAGGGTATGTGTTGGTGCGAGGCGAGCGCGGTGGCGGCGGAGGCGGGGCGGTGCAGCTCGCGGTCAAGCGTGCGCGAGGGCGACGCGCCCACGGGCGACGAGTAGCGCAACCGCGGTGCCGCTTCTCGAGCGGCCGATGGAGTCCTAATAAAAATAAGGCCACAGATGTACAAAAAATAACAAATAAAGGTTTTAACACGGCACAGCCATGCCGCTGCTACATTACACCAGCAGTACGAAAGGGTCGGCTCCACTGAGGTAGGACCACGCTCTCACAGAACACCAGCGTGCAATAGCAGCTTAACGCTACGGTGAGTTTAGAGAACCGGATACCCTTTAACTGATAACGAGGTAATCCTAAGTCCTCAGGGCTTACAATGCATCTGCATTTTGATTCTTAATCGAAGAGGTGTAGATGTGTAAGAGCTTCAGGATCAAAAGCAAATAAATTTCAATATATATTTTAAATTACTCTACTCCTCCATAGTAACCTTAGCAACTATGACGAATATATATTACCTACATATTTTACAGAATGTCCGGTTCTTAATAGATAACCTTGAAATGGCTTACAGCATACACACACACATACACACACACACACACACACACACACACACACGTATATATAGTCATGTGTCATAGTGTGTCGTCGTAGTTTATATACATACATACATATATATATTTTCATTTTCATAGTACTTTATACATACTTTATACATAGTACTTTATACATAGTATTGATAGGAGCGTACTCCAACGGTTTGGACACGTTGAACGAATGAGTGAAGACCGAATGGTGAAGAAAATATATAGAGCGAAAGTAAATATTAAAAGGTGTCGAGGTAGACCGAGACTAACTTTCGAAGACCATGTGAGCAAATTGCTCGAAGAGGGGAGGGTCAAGAGTACTCGGATACTTAGAGGTGCATGTATGAAGAAGTTAATGAACCTGAAAAAAGCGAGAGGTAAGGATCGTGACACTTGGCGATCTGTTCTCTCTGGCTACCCCGTTAGGGATTGTGCGTGAAGATAAGTAAGTAAGTATAGTGCTTGTGACTGCCTACAGAACGCAATTGACATATTTTTTGATTCATCTGAAGATTTTGATTATGTAAATGAGACATGATTACTTTATAAATTAAAATATAAAAGAACAAGCTCTACGTTTGTTGGATTTTTATCTTAGTTTCTTGTTTATATTAATGTTTTGCCATGCTTCGTTCAAAATCTTACTAAAATTGAGCTGTATGCAGATGATACTTTACTCATATACCGGGTGTTTGTGAAACGCTCCCGAAAACGAAGACAGACGATAGTACTAAAGATACCCTTGATGATGTGTCCGAAAAAAATCGATCCCGATGAAAAAATATCATTTTTTCGCAACGTTTTATTTGCTTTACTCACGCTCCATCATGTTAGCACAACTAAATGAAACAATAATTTCATAAAAAAGAATCATGAAAATACTTAAACATAAAACAGCTAAAAATAGGGTCAATATTTGCGTGGACGCTGAATTCTTTTATCTAGCTCGCTACGAAACAATGCATTAGGTATTGCTGTACTACATCTACGCTATTCGCACTTTTCTAACGAATTATTGTACCCTTCCCTTTTACACAAGCGCTGCCGCCGCCCAGCCGACTCGTGTCACCTCGCGCTGTGCAATTTACACATGTTCAGTGTTGCCACCATGTGGCGAACTCCCCAAATTACGGGGAAAATGCGGGGGGAAAAGTCAGAACCTTTTTTCAAAAAATCCAAATATTTATCTTAACATTTTTCTTGGGTTGCTTATGAATATCGAATGACTCCTTTTTTTTGATTCATCTTCATTGCACCACATTTAATTTTCGAATTTATTCCGGCAACTTTTGTGTATCATTTAATGGTTTTATTTGTTTTTTTATATTTAAAGCAGAAAGCCGCATGCATTTAAATGCAGATGGTACTTTTTAATGGCAACAAGGTAAGGAATTAAAAATACTCCATAGAGTAAAATGCTTGTTACAAACATACGGAAAATGTGAAAAAAAAATTCAAATAAATCATATAAAATTAGTTGAAAATTGTTTCATTTTTTTTTAAATAAAATTGAGGGGAATTTGTGCGGAATCTGTTTATATGAATATGTTGAATAAGTTTTGTCCCTAATTTGAGGTTTGACATGGAATTTCGAGGATTTCGACAAATTAGTGTTGGCAGAGCTGCACATGTGGCACCGAAATTTACCTACTAAGATTTTCTTGCACATGCTATTACGATGTGCATGCTGCCCTCTCCACACTCCGGGATTCCGGATATTTCTATATCGTTTCCCAAGAGCTCTAGATCTCGCTCACGCAGGTCAAATTTCAGCTGATTGATAATTTTTTACACGCACGTTAGTTACACTACGAGCGGTATAGGCCTATTTTTCAAGAACGTTGATACTTATTTCTAGGTTATCCTTTCTTTCGTCATATAATCTTAAGAGAACTTTAAGATCCTACACCTCTTACAAAAAGTTCGTAACTGATTTTTGACCTTACACATCTCTTCTGAAAACCCACGGACTTCCATAACTAAATTTTTATTGGCATCCAAAAACGTAATGTAATCCACAACGGTGATATCAATTTGCTCAGTATCCGTTGATATTTCCATTTTAACAAGGTCTATTTGTACTACACACTGGAGTTTTAATTTTCAAATTTTGATGTATTAAACACACAATCAAGACATCTCCAAACTTTGGATATTAATTATTTTGTTTTCACATTAAACAAGTCCTACGCACACAGTAATACATACATTACGCATAATGCCATCTATTACATTTTTGGGCCACATAACATCGACATGCGCTACACTTCTTTGCAACATTTTACAGATGATATTTCATAAATGTTATCGTTACCATTAATAATGCCGATAATTTGATTTTATTAATATAATTAAAATTAATTTCTAAAATTACTATTCATTTACTTATTATATTAACAACAATATATTATATATATATATATATATATAAAAAAAAAAAAAAAAAAATATATAAAGTTTATATATATATATACAAACTACGATGACAAACTACCGTTTTGCGTACAATAAATTTTTTTCATTTCCTAATTATTATTTCCTTCACTTTCATAGATATAACAATAACTAAATCTTTATACGACTTTACAGGAATTAAACAATATTTTATATGACAATTGCTGGTGACATAAATTTTAGGGGCCTTCAAGAAAAGAGCCTACTCGTTACTAAAAGGCCAGCAACGCATCTGCAATTCCCCTGGTGTTGTATCTGTTCATGGGCGACGGTAATCACTTACCATCAGGCGAACCGCATGCTCGTTTGCCCCTCTCCTATAAAAAACTATTCTGCTCAATCACCAATTACTACTGACGCTACTGACATATATTTTTAACGTAATGGACTGTCATGAAACATTATTCTAATATAATATTTCAATATTTATATTTACCTGCTCGCATTTCTTGGATCTAAGTTCTGTTTTTTCCACTGTTGAAGTTTTTCGCGTTCTTTCACTTCTTTTAAAAATACCTAAAAAAAGAAAAACTCGTTACATATTTACTTCATAAAAGCGTATTTGTTTTTGTCTTATTTTCTTCTTATGATTAGTTATTTACACAAAATAATTTTAAATGAAACTAATTTTACGTATTTAATCTTTACATAATGTAAAACAAAGTCGCTCCCTGCCGTCTCACTATGGGTCCAAACGGTGTGTTCTGTCTCAAAAACCTATAAATTTTTTGTTTATTGACATTTTGAATTGAAATTTTGTGTAATTTTTTCCGAATACTTATACTATTATATAATTAAAAAATAACAACTTTAAAACCCTTATTTAGTTAAAAAAATTACAAAACTAAAATTTTGAAAATATTTATACGCAAATTAAAATAAAAAATGATTAAAATAGTCCTCACAGGAATGCTAAACCAATACTGATTATAATTATCACAACAGATAAGAAGTACGCAACATCGGTTTTATTATACATGCGGTTAATATGACCACCGCAAACAAAAAATTGGATGACCCTGCAGGCCATCCCTGGAACTTCTTGCTAAATTCAATATTTGCAACGCGCTGCGAATTCCACTTATTATGACGTTTTTGCGGTCTAATTTTATTTTTTTCAAAATTGAATATTTCACAAACAAATCAACTGATTTTGATGTAATTTACGGCAATCAACACAATTTTTTCAGCTTAAAAAAACACTTTTTCGAGATTTCTTTCGACAATGATATCTATCGAACGAATCAACCGATTTTGATGCGGTTTACGGAAATCGACGTCGTTTTTAAGTAGAAGGGCTGATTAGATTATGAAATTGATCAAAACAAGGATGTCCAAGAAATTCCAAAAATAAAAACTAATTTTTTTAATTACAAAAACTCGAACTTTGAGGTTTTCTTACAATCTACCGTGACGACTCGGTCTCAATTCACAGAAAATCGAAGTTTAGCGAGGCTCTTTCAGATGCCGCAAGCCGCTTTTCGATCGAACACTTCGTTACAAATCTATGTTACATACATACATACACACCCACTCACACACATACAGACATAAAGACATCATCACAAAATTTGCCAGAATCTGATGAGAACTCGATTTTCAAAAACCGGGGTGAAAACAATGACCTTCCCATTTTTTGAAAATCATTTATTTTTATAGCGGGAAGCTAAAAATCTTGTAAAAATGTGTTTCCAAATATTAAATACCCATAATATATTTTGTGGTCACTTGTTACATAAAAAGTATTTTTATTGTAAACAAACAATAAAACACGTATTTTGTTGAATTCACAAATGTTATAAATCAGTGCAAATAACGAGAATCATTAATTTAATTTTTTCCCTGCGTCGACGTTTTTGCGTCTAGCTCGAAATGGACCGGCACTGACGGAGGTTTTTTATTTCCTTGTATTATTAAATAGTTTACGAAACTAAACATGTCATTAACACGACATCGGCAGCTGTCGGCAACCAGGGAACCTCAATATGAAAATCGAGAAGACGATATTTAAAAAGTAAAGTGAAAAAAATATATATTATAAAAACAAAGTAATTGTAAACAAGAGATCTTTAGCAATATAAATATATATATATATATATATGAAAAACTGAAAAAATATCTTAAAATGAACTTCCATATTGAGTAATCTAATTAACATGAAATTATTGAAGTGCGGAGTTTAGATGTAATTTTATATATCTATAGGTAATTACTATTATTTTTATTATTATATCAAATCTTCTCAGAATATATAAATATCAGAACGGTTTCAGTAACAAGACTTTTGTCAGAATCATTTTTGCGATGGACCACGACGTACCGTCTCATAGTGCGTCTGTACGCTAAGATTTACTTACGCAACGGATTTCGATGCGGTTTTCATCAACAAACAGCATGATTCAAGAGGAACGTTTATGTGTATTATACATGCATACTATAACATTGCACACGTGCAATTTTATAATATGCAGAAACTGGGGCGTGACGCCAGTTATATACATATAATCCGTAATAGCTCCTCTACCAGATGGGTCAGCCCTGGCCCAGCGAGATGGCCACGCGACGGTTGAAACGCATCTACATGATGGCGACATTCAGTTGTGATCGAAACGTCTTTCGAGATAGACGTGGAAGAATTAGCCGCTGCGGCAATACATTTATACAATATGTCATTTTATTATTGTCTTTTCTTAATGTGCACAAGAATAGAGCTATCAAAAACAAATGGCGTAGAAAATAGTGGATGTTATCTATCTATCGCAGTAGAACTAAATATGTCCTAAGTTAATTTCGTTTTCTTTAAACAAAAATAATTAAATAAATAACTATTAATTGATTATTAAAAATAAATAAATAAAAAATAAATTATGTATACGTTCTGATTTTAGTAGCTCTATGAAATATGAAAAATAAAAATTTATAACTTCATTATGTGGCCACATATTCGTCATTTTTAATTCCTTAATTAATAAACAAAGCACGGACGTCCACACTCAACCGTCGAATGGAATGGAACTGGAACGGGCCACGTGTAGATGCGTACCGCAATCGCTGGCCCACTCCTTTTGATGTGCGGCGGAAAAACCGACACCGTGGCCATCCCCAAGACCATCGCGCGCGCCATAAACCATCCGACACCACTACGCCCTCCACACGCTGGGCGCTGGCCGTTCATAGCGGGCCATCACGATAGCTCATCGTGTAGGGGAGCTATAAAATTAGTTCCATTTAATGTGTAGTGTTCGCGTAAATATAAGAAACCTTTTAAATATATTTTATTCATTTCTATAAAATTGATTGATTAACTTAAATTCTCTTTCAAATTTCGATTTGACCTGGCGCTAGTTATTTGGCATCGCAAGACAAACAAAACAAAAAGAAAACAAAAGTAGCGATAAAAGTATAAATTGAATAAAACTTAGGTAAGGCAAGCCAATGTAATTTTAACTAAACACGACTGTTGTATATTAATCTATATTGAATGCTGTTTGCAATAGAGTTAAAATGTGAAACCTGTGCGATGCCACTCTCGATCTTGGCCAGCTCGTGTTCCTCGCGGCGCAGTTTGTTGTCGACGCCATTAACTTCTCCGTTGGGTTTCCCATCTTCCTCGTCGCTGTCGGTTACGCCTTTGAACGTTTCTGACCGCCGCCTTCTTCGCTCTGATCAAAAAGGAAACAGTCGCTGGTGTAATTTTACTTACGTCCTCTTTACTTTGACTGCCTCGTGGTCTAGCAGTCGTAACCGCGACTACTAATCATGAAGTGCCGGGTTCGAACCCCGTGTCGAGCCAAAATCAGTTATTTTGGGTTTTTTTGTCAAGAAATTCTAAGTAGCAGCCCGGAGTCAAGAAGTTGCTGGTGTTTCACCCCCGTGCCTCGGAAAGTACGTAAAGCCGGAAAGACGTTGGTCCTGCGCCTGATCGTTCTTCAGCCGCGCGGTTTACCGTTCCATAGGACTATTAGTAAGGTAATAGAGTGCACCTGTGCTTGCGCATACACTTGCGCACTACAATCCAGTCCTGCGCCGATGGTTGGTCTTCGTTAAATCCGGTCGCCTTGATCTAAATTCGGTCTGGAGGAGCTTATAATTACGTCCACTATAAAACTACATCAAATCAAAGTGATCGTAAGCTGTCATAGCTGTTGAGAAAACTACGCTCGGAGCTGTTAACGAGGAATTTCAGTTAGGGTCAAATTTTCAGACTAGTCAAATTCTACTTCGACCACCAGATCAATCAATGAATGTAACTGGGCCGAGCAGTGTTCGGGGAATTACTATTCTAGTACAGCATTGCTATTAGTAGACAGGTTTTTCATTCATTGCAGTCTACTGCTGACTTAAAGCTAACAGGTCTTCTCCATAGATTGCCTGTCTTGCCACGCCTGAAGGACGAGTTGGTAACCACAATATTTTTTTATTATTGAACGTTACCGTGTAGTAGAGGTGTAAGATTATCCACTAGCGCATATCGTGCCGTGGGAGTCGTACGAACAAATCAAGAGAGGCCTACGTACAGCAGTGAACTTATGAGACTGTTAAGGTCAGGCAAGGTTAATAAAGACGTGAACTCACCCGGATCTGTGTAGGGGTACGGCGGAGCGGGGAAGTCGTCTCGTTCTATCTTTGGTTGCGTCCCAGGCGGAGGCTTATACGCCGAGGGGTAGTGCGATAATTCTATGGGTTCCTGAAAATGTTTCAACATTCAATTTTGTTTTGTCGTTACGGCATTATTTATTTATTCTGTGTTGATCTAGCACATAAAAATATCGGGAGGCAGATAATGTAATAAAGGTGCATCATCTGCTCGTCATCCTGGAGTCTATGGAAACTCTGGAAGTATATTAAACATCGAAGGCGATTAAAGGCGAAAAGACAACAAAAATATATGTGCTATTCACACGCGATGGAAGTAAATCCGTCAGAAAACTTAACTCCGAGAGTATGAAACGAATGCAGAGTATCAGGAGTACGCCAGTAGCATAATTTTAGGGTTTATTTATTATAATACTGTTCATCATCATCATCATTACAGCCTTTCACAAGTGCACTGCTGAACATAGGCCTCCCCCAAGGAACGACACAAAGCTCGGTCCCGAACCACCTGCATCCATCGACTCCCTGCATGCCTTACCAGATCGTCACTCCATCTAGTGGGGGGACATCCGGTCTCACAACACTTTGCCTGCCGGTACGAGGCTACCACTCGAAAACCTTTTTTCCCCATCGGCTGTCTGTTCTTCAAGCTATAAGGCAGCCCATTACGACTTCTACTTACTAATTTTTGGCTATTTCGCTTACTTTGGTTCTTTTGCGGATATCCTCATTTCTAAGTTTATCACGCAGAGAAACCCCGAGCATAGCCTTCTCCATAGCTCGCTGATCGAACTTGAGCATCGTCATACGGCCAGCAATGAAGGACCAGGTCTCTCAATTCCGTAAGTCATCACTGGCAACATGCACTGGTTGTACAATCTAGTTTACAGATTTTGAGGTATACCTAACGAGAAGTTGTGTCGTAATTTCCTGAACGCTGCCCAGCCGAGTTGAATCCGTCGATTGACCTCTCGGTCGAAGTTGGATTTACCTAGTCAGACTATTTGTCCCAGGTAAACATAGTCGTCAATAACTTCCAGCTTAGTGCTGTCAACAACTACCGGTATATGTGTATGACATGGATGTTACACATGATCTTTGTTTTGTCCATGTTCATCTTGAGACCTATTGGAAGACACTATTGAGGTCATTGAGTATAGTGCTTAGGTCCTCCAGCGATTCCGCCATAAGGACTATATCGGTCCAGTAGCTTTCGTCTCTCTGCAGTTGGATAGGTTTCATACTCTGGTTCCTTACTTGGATAGGCATCGTAGCCCTACTGTACAAACACTTCAGCAGTTAGATATACTGACAGTTCACTTGGCACCGTTGAAGGGACTGTAGCAACGCCCAAATTTAGACAGAAACAAAGGCTTTCTCATAGTCCACATGCACGAGGCAAAGTGGCAGATTGTACTTTGCGGTGTTCAGTACAATTTGCCGAAGGGTGTGTATGTGGTCTATGCTACTAAAGCCTTTTTGAAAACCAGCTTTTGACATGTCCGGGAGGCCAGAAGTCGTCGAATCTGCTTGCGAGATTATTCGTAATGACTCTCGAAAACAGCATGTTGACACGGTTCAGAAGGGAAATCAGTATTTAGGTCTTCAAAGGCGTGTTGTCGCCTTTGTTGAAGAACAAGACCATCGCAGTTCTGCTCCACGTTTCCGGGGTAGTGCCAACATGAAGCTTCTGAAGGACTTCAAGTACTAGTACTAGCTTTCCACCTGCTTTCAGAAACACCGCTGTAGTTCCATCTTCGCCTTTGGCCTTGCCCTTTTTAAAGCGCTAGCAAGTTATTCTAATCTCGCTCAGACTGACGTCCGTGATTAATCTTACTCAAAATCTTCGGTATCCCGGAAACGATGCTTAGTTGTCAGCTTCGACCGTTGGCGCTTTCTGGCACACATATTTATGGCAAATAAGAACCCTGGTTCCGCTCGATCGTTTCTTCAATACGAGCTGTGAAGTTGCGTAAGTCCTGCCGAATGCATTTGGATATCCGTGTGTCCAGTTGCCTGTATGCTGTCAAATTTGCTGAAGACTGCAGCTGCATCTCCCGCTATGATATTAAGAGTGTGATCGGAGGATTTTTGTGTTCTTCTGCGGCGGGTCTTGCAGAATCTAGCTCCGACCGCATGAACAGTTTCCACGAGCTTGTCCTTACTATCGTCCAATTCATTGGATCGAGCTGAACGTTTTCGGGAAATTGGATTAAAGCACAAGCGGACGGAGCGTTGATTTATTTGACGTGACCTTTCCAATTCGACGTCAAGGTTCAGTGTGTCTTTCACCACTCGACAGATTCCACGTTTTCAATTACAACAAATGACATGAGTAGTTATGATAACTTAAGTATATAATAGATAATAGAAGTCACTGTATACTGCATTCTATCTCATTCTGTCGCAGGCTCAATCCTGTAGATATATATGTTTCTTTCTTTTTAGTGTTGATTTTTCTTCATCGAGTTTCCAATTTCATTTACGAAAAAAAAAATAGATTTTATAAAAGTCATCTACCAAAACCGCCACGCGTGTCAGTTGGATTTGTCATGGAGCGACAAACTTGTCGCCGCTCCTCGTCATCTGGATCGAAATTATTATATTGTGCTACGCCAACTAGTAGTCGGCGAGTGGAGTTTGTATTGCTTAGTATGGACATTGTATATGTTTTCATGGTGAGTGACAGCTGCAGTTCATAGATACCTGCCGACGACTTTGTAAAGAAGGGTACAGATGCGACGCCTCACCTGGAGTTTAAGATGGAATGCCTCACAGCGTGTAATTACACTGGCGTCCTGATCGGGACACAGGAGTGCACAGCCTTCTGTTTAGCGGAACAAAACACCCGAATGGTGGGACCAGCCCAGTTGGACTTCCAGGTAAAAAAGGAAATTTACGAACTAGTTTTTGAGATGAACTTTCAGATTGAAAAGAAATTTACAATTTAATTTTTGAAATATTTGTACGTAGTGTTTTGCCTATATTTCCTAGTTAATTGTATTGGCTTCCAAAACCTTTCAGGCCGAAATACAGCACTGTGAGAATTTTTATTTGAAGCCGAAATAGTTAAAATGGTGACAACTACGTCTGCCCAGATCGATCAGGTGGACTGCGTGCTAGTGTATCCCCTAGTTCTATAAAAAAGGTTACCTCATTGTTCATGTGCGGAGACTTGGGGCGCGGCGTCTCGCTGCGCATGGAGTCCACCAGCACGCGCATGCCGGGCCGGGAGGAAGCTTTGCTGCCCGGCCGCGAGCTGGTGCGCATGCTAGCACTAGCTGCACATAAAACACCTATTATTAAAGGCCGTTTCTATTTTTCTTTTATAAATAATTATAATTACATTTTTAATTTATAAATATATTTATAATCTAGAACACCGTGAAGAAGGAACCGTGGTAGCTCAAATGGTTAGCTCTCGCTGTAAAATTACACATTACGACAGCAACCCAGATTCAATCCCCATCGGCACCAATGAAATCGTTAATTTCAATTTAAATGCTGATTCTCCACGTGCTCGGCGGCGAAGGATAACATCGTGAGAAAATCTGCATGTCGGAGAAATAAGAAAACTATACTTCGAACACATATGAAGTTTGTCAACATGCATTGGAGCAGCGCGGCGAACATTTCCTTGCCCTAGAACCCTCTCAGAAGTAACACGAGGCCTGTGCCCAGCAATACGTACGACGTACATGGGCTGTAACTTTAACTTTAAATAATCTAGAAGATAACACTGGTTGTTGTTATCACAAGCTGATTTATGGCCGTCTGTCAATCAAGTAACAACAAAAAATCTTTCAAAACAAGTGATTGCATTAAAAAAAATGTGAAATGAAATGACAATGAGAAGAAGCATCCCCACCATCCAATAGGTTTGAAATCAGTGTCATTTGAAGCGTCTAGTAGGATAGATACTTTTTACTACAAGGCGACGTACTTCAAATACGTAGGATTTAGGTTTTATAAAATATATTATATATATATATATATATATATATATTTTACTAACACATTGCAATACATTGCGCAAAATAAAATAGTAATACGCTAATAACGTCGCATATGAACGTGCAGGTTTGAGCTTGTCGGGACGTGCGCAGAGATTCCGCAACACCTTCCCCTCCTTCACACCCACGAGGATCACCGCACACACACCCACCAACCAGGTAGTCGCGGTCGTAACTCGTTCGTTATTCACTACTCTCGTGGTTAACATTATCGGCTTGTTTACGACGCACAACGAACCTAGCTTGTTTACCGGACTGTGAGAATATATTGCCTTTGCACGTTAAAGAACTTTGATTTTGAGAAAGTTTTGGCACAAGTATGGAAACAGGACGTCGATGTGCTATGTGTCCGCGTTCTAAGACAGAGAAGACACATTTTAGAAGATACTTTGCCTCAAAGTTCACGAGTTTAGTCTGACTATATTTCACAAAATGGGCTAATAGGGGTTAAACCAATTAGTCAAACCTACGGTCAAGCCAAAGAGTATAGTAGGTTTGGCCAAAGGCAATTTTTTTAAATGAAGGTAAATATAACTTAGTCATTACCATGTTCTTATATAAAAATAAAAATTCTCAACAATTAAAATATCGAATTATTTGTATGAAGTTTACGTGAGCGCTAGAAAAACAACGATTGTAAGATGTTGTTGATAAATAAATATTTAATGAAATAGTATAGTAAAAATAGAATTTAACTTTGCACAAAATTTCTAATCTAATTTTATTTTTTGTAAGGTTTAGGATCATTTACTGAGCATAAAATCACAAAATACTGATAGATCCAGGTGGCGCTTCAAGCGCAATCTTGAAAAAACGTTTTCAGCCGATATCTCGGAAACTAGGCAAAAATTATAGCGACTATTATTGTAGAAAATAAAATTTCGCATCTTTTGTTTCCGGTAAACTTTTTTGTAAAACTTAAAGTTTACGATTTATGGCCCATTTATTGAACCGGTTTTTATATCGCAGCCAATAAATCTTTAACTATTAGATTAATCAATATAATGCATAAATCTACTTTTAAATATGTATCAGTTTATTCACTAAAACTTTTGTTTGAAATTTTTTTTTCTAATGTTCATACTTTTTGAGTCATAGGACGTTTAATGTTGGACTACCGGGCGTAAAGTAGCTGCCGCGTCACCTGCCGAGCTCGGCGGGCGACGTAGCAGCTATGCGTATCTTGAAATTTTCAACTCTAACGAAAAAGATGCCAAATTTTATTTTCTAGAATAGTGGTTTCTATAACTTTTGCCTTAAAGTGCATAGTTTCCGAGATATAGGCTGAAAGCGTTTTTTCAAGATGGCGCTTGTAGCGCCACCTGCAAATTATTTAAGCAGTATTATTATTACTCAGTTATTTTAAGTTTGAGAACCAAGTAATTTTTTTAATACACAACCGTCCTTGTTTATGTGAAATAAGATTTTATGTTTGTGAAAAAAATTTTTGTATAAAAATAAATACATTTTAAATTTTTATTTTCAAACAAAAAATTTAAGTAAAAAAGTTTTTTTTATTATAAATAAATCCAATAATTTTTGCAACTAACACAGGTACTTTAGGCTTTTTTGGGCCCAATGAACAAATTGACACGTATCCCATGTCTGTTGAAGGCTGGGGACGGGGTTCATACAAAACCCCCATGCCCTTTTAATAGAAAACACCTAAAAATCTCTACCACAATTTTTACCAAGTGGACAGAATTATATATAATAATGTTTGGATGTTACGTTAAATTTATCCTAAAACAGTAACAGTAAAAAAAAACGTTGACAATTCCAAAAACATTTAAGATTAAAAAAATACATCAACGTATTAACTACGACTAGAAAGTACGTGCTTAGGAAATACCTCCGATATTGATTATTTTATTTTATTACGAAAACGAAAAACGGAAATACAATATTTTTCTATATATTGAATGTAGACTTCGTACACTTTACATTAAGAATATAGTAAAGCAAGTCACCGAAAGCCTTTTGGAATTCTGTCAAGAGTAAAGCATTTCCTATTTCATACTCATTTAATATAAAATACAGACAGCATTCTTCACGTAAAGCTGATATTGTTCAATCAGTATTTTAATCCTATCTTCACAATTCCGAGACGATTAATGTTAATATTACTGGCACATAAATTGACCAATTCCCTATTAATATCAGTTCCGTGGAGAAATAAGAAATAGAGCCATGTAGACTTTTAAAAACTATCGACCTGAACAGTTCAGTTGGACTGTCCGCTCGACTATACAAATAGGTACCGGCTATCTTCGCCTTATATCGTAGCTTACATCGTATGTCGTGCAAACTCTCTTTGCCTCTTCGTCGGTTAAAGGAAGGCATAACTCCAAACACCAATTACTTAGTACAAAGTGTGTTTATTCATAATGTAAGACATAAAGATGACGTACAAAATTATCGTCCCATTTACAAGCTCTATTTCTTCACAAAAGTACCAGAAAAATATTTACAACCAGATGTATTTTTGCCTTCGTCACAAATAAAGTGAAAATAAAAATGGTTTCTTAAAAATAGATTCACCGTGTCAAACGTTGTCGTTCGCACCGTCTATCTTACTAGCTCTGTTAGAGATAACCATCACAAGATGTAGTCTATACAGACTACGACAAAGCATTCAATATAATCGATCATTTAATTCTTTTACGTCAACTCCTTGCAATGTGTATCAGGGGTGACTTGTTCAGATACGTCACATCGTATATCAGAAATCGAAGTCAATTTGTTATCGTCCTTGGTGAGTATCGATCGTCTGCGATCCATTTATCGTCTGGCGTACCGCAAGAATAGATATTGGGGTCCCTGCTATTTTGAAGACCCTGCGTGAGAACGTAGTGCTGCGCACTCATAGGTATACACAGGTGTACTCACAGGGCGGGCGGTGGAAGTGCGGCGAGGTGGGCGGGCGGTCGTAGGGCTGCACGCAGCGGCGCAGCGTGGCAGGCTCGCTTGCCAGGTACGAGTACGTGGTGATGCGCGCAGGCGACCAGCCGCCCCACCGCCCCGTGCCGTTCGGCCCGGGGGACGTGCCACGGTACCCGTACTGTAAAACCAACAACCGCTACATGAACATGGATCTAACCCTTAGCTCCCATGTAGCCGGATACAATATCAAAACAATCCATTCGACCATACCAATGCTCAATGACAGCTCATAGATAATAACGTAAAATAAAGTACGAATTATCTGCTATTTAATGCTAATATTTTTTGGTTGAATATTGTGACTCTAAGTTTGGAAAAATGTTGCAGCATTTTTTAAACCAAAAAGTAAAAGTAACTTAACATTTTTCTTACGAATTTCAGTTAAGATGCGATTCAAATAATATTAAGAACTTTAATGACCTCTCGAATGACCTGGAGTTACCGTGATCCGTTAACTATCACTAAAAATACGGCTTGCAAAGGAAATTAATTTCCGTATTAAAAAGGTTTTTTCCGCTTTGTTTAACGAAGTCCTTAGTATTACCAAATCTATTGATCTCATAGTTATTGTTAAAATTTATTGAAAAAATTGATACTAGTCGGTGAAATTTCTTAAATACCTACATAAACCCATGATCTATTTTTATTGACTATTTCGATGACTACTCAGACAGTGATGCATAGATGAGCGAAAAATGCTATATTCAGATGAATACCTTTTCTTTCGTGGTTCCTATGTCAATAAATGTCATGTCAAATATGGGTATATGATTTGCTCACCCTACCCAATTGGTTTTAATTGACAGCTATGACGTCACAATATGGAGCCATGTCAGTCATATTCTTATTTCAGTCGTAATATATAGCAAAGACACCACATCCCCCTTTCCACTTATTTTTAATAGTGGTTTAAGTCATTACTACTGCTTTTGCAAATACGAATAATTATTAATTTAAAGTGTGTATATTGACTTCCTTAACTTCAAAGTGCGTATTTATCACTCGGCAGCTCCATAGTGCAGTATTTGACTATTTCAAATTCAAGGTGTGTATCTACACACGGTAGCTCCAAAGTGCACTTTTCGATTGCTTCAAGTTCAAAGTGCGTATCTACATGCAGCAATGCAAAAGTGCGTTGTTCGACTGTCTTAAGTTTAATTCTAGCAATTGTGTTGTGCTAGCAACCAATTGGTGTGAACATTTACACGCCATCGCTCTATGGTGCTTAGTATTCGTAACTAGACAGTTGCGAACACTCAGCACCACTAGCACAGTATACGCGATATGTAAAAACGTGAATTTTGGGCCAATTTATTTTATAACAGTGGGTATTCATGGGATAATTGTAGAAACTTTTTAACAAAAATAACGTATAAAACGTGAAGGGAACCTAAAAACGTAAAACATAAATTTCTCCCCACATACTATCTATCCATATGTTATGTTATACCAAATTAAATAGTATTTTCTAAATATGCTTAGACATGGTTATGCTTTGAAAAATGCTTTCTGGTCTGATGAATTCTCTAAGCTCATTTCAGTCACCTTTTCAAAAAAAAAAGTTCATTTATATAATTTAATTAAAAAATATTAAACATTGTAGAAAATCGCTATACATTTGCTTAAATTTTTTTCATTAATCAAAAGTGTTCATAAACATATTATATTTAATTTGTACAATTATACCAATAATGAATTAAATTAACATTCACAACTAACTATTGCACTGCTTGACATTGAGCATTACATTATTCTGTTTGAGGTTATAAGAAATTTCAGATATCAAATATAAATAGAAATGTAAAATTGATTTTAAAATATTGAATTAAAATTGAAAAAAAAAAATGATGTTTTGTTTTATATGTTGATAATTTAGCGGCTGTAGTCGCTACGAAACATCAATCAATGACAAAAAAAGGAAAGCTTCATGTGGTGTCATCGCTATATTTATAAGCTTAACCTTGCAACTCAAGGTTGGAATGCTCATAAATAACAACCAGAAAATTGTTGGTGTCAATATCATCAGGCGAGGACCGTAACAAGTGACAGAGGGAAACTGAACCAGGAGATGGTCAGCATCTTCCTGATAACAACTGAAAATAATGAAAACTGCAATTGCTAACCCGCCTGCCAAGTGTGGCAACTATAGCAAAATCCCTCCAATGAAGCATTCTAGAGGGAACACATTTATCAGTAGTGGAATTCTGATACGCTATTGTGATGAAGATATAAAAAAATCAAAACAGAATAAAATATCAATCAATAAAAATCAATTTATGTATCTGCCTTTAATCAATCTTACGTGAGTTATTTTATACAGTTTTAAGGTAATAAAAAAACAGGAAATTGAAATCGCAAAATGAAATAATCAATTAAGTTAATTAAAAATCAAGTATTCAATTAAGTAATTTAGAAAACCAATAATTGAGATTTATATCCTTCAAACCATGGATTAAAGGCAAAAATAAAATAAAATAAAACAAAATAAAACGGACCTTCCTTGTCAAGCTACTGTAGGGGCTGCAGTAGGAGCCGTTGACGCTCGGCGTGCGCGAGCGCATCGAGAACTGTGCAACAACACACCGGTCAATCGTCTCCGGCATAATAACATCTCTCGTTATACAAATCAGAGCTTTTGTTAAATAAACTGAAAAACTCAATAAAACTTGAAATTTTTTACAAATAATAAAGAAATTTAAAATAAAATTGTAAGTATAAATAAACTAAGATTTAAGAAAACTAATAAAATGTCAAAACAGTTTTTATATAATTTTGATGATTGATCCAACTTTCAGCAGTGCGTGTGTGCGCGCTTATGTATTTGTTCGTCTTCTAAGCTTTTTCATTCCCCTCTCTTTCTCTCTATGTATTTATGTATGTATGTGTCTGCGTATCTCTCTCTTTCTGTATGTGTGTGTGTTGTTCTCTCCGTCTATGTTTATGTCTTTCTCCCGCTCTTTCTATCTGTCTTTCCTGCTCTGTCCATCAGTGTGCGAGTGAGTGTGCGCATGTGTATATATATGTGTGTACATGTGTGTTGTGCGTACGTGTACGTGTGGTAAGAAAACTCACTGGCTTTGCAAATTATAAATTTTTAAAATTAAGAAGTTATATTACATCTGGCTGGACGTCCAGCCGAGCGCGCGCGCGTGTTTGTGTGTGTGTGTGTGTGTGTGTGTATGTTGTGTGTACGTGCACACGGGTGTATGTATATTCACGTGCGTGTCTCTATGTGCGTGTGCGAGCGCGCACCTGCAGCTCTGAGCAAGCGCGGTCGAGAGCGAGCGGGTCACCGGGCGCGGGCCCGCAGCGCGGGTGCCAGATGGCGGCGCCCTGCAGGAACATCTCCTCGCCGTCGCCGAACGGGTCACCGCACTTGCTGCAGCGCGCGCACGTCGGGTGGAAGTGGTGGTTTTCGCCCGCCTGTAACACACATCCCCTTCCCTTAACACTAGACCCTCCTCTCATTTCTACCAATGTAAAGCAATCATTAAAGTAATCAAACAGTTAATATTATGTGCTTCCAACTTATGGATAAAGGACTCCATTGATTCTTGTATAGGTTATGTAATGGCGGCTTTTTCAGGTCCTCGAAATACTTCATTGCTTAGACTGAAGAAGTGGTAGAGGGACGTTGTGCACGCACCTGCAACACCTTGCCGGAGTACAGGCGCTGGTAGTCGCGCTCGCAGTACGGCACGCCGCCGCGCCCCGTGTACTTGAGCACGTGGAAGTGTAAGTGGTTGTGTATGTTGTGTACGGTGTGCACGCACCTGCAACACCTTGCCGGAGATGTAGCGCTGGCAGTAGGCGCAGCTCACACTGTGGAGGCACTGGTAGTCGCGGTAGTCGCGCTCGCAGTACGGCACGCCGCCGCGCCCAGTGTGCTTGAGCACGTGGAAGTGTAAGTGGTTGTGTATGTTGTGTACGGTGTGCACGCACCTGCAACACCTTGCCGGAGATGTAGCGCTGGCAGTAGGCGCAGCGCACACCGTAGAGGCACTGGTAGTCGCGGTAGTCGCGCTCGCAGTACGGCACGCCGCCGCGTCCCAGTGTGCTTGAGCATGTGGAAGTGTAAGTGGTTGTGTATGTTGTGTACGGTGTGCACGCACCTGCAACACCTTGCCGGAGATGTAGCGCTGGCAGTAGGCGCAGCGCACACCGTGGAGGCACTGGTAGTCGCGGTAGTCGCGCTCGCAGTACGGCACGCCGCCGCGCCCAGTGTACTTGAGCATGTGGAAGTGTAAGTGGTTGTGTATGTTGTGTACGGTGTGCACGCACCTGCAACACCTTGCCGGAGATGTAGCGCTGGCAGTAGGCGCAGCGCACACTGTGGAGGCACTGGTAGTCGCGGTAGTCGCGCTCGCAGTACGGCACGCCGCCGCGCCCAGTGTACTTGAGCACGTGGAAGTGTAAGTGGTTGTGTATGTTGTGTACGGTGTGCACGCACCTGCAACACCTTGCCGGAGATGTAGCGCTGGCAGTAGGCGCAGCGCACACTGTGGTGGCACTGGTAGTCGCGGTAGTCGCGCTCGCAGTACGGCACGCCGCCGCGCCCAGTGTGCTTGAGCATGTGGAAGTGTAAGTGGTTGTGTATGTTGTGTACGGTGTGCACGCACCTGCAACACCTTGCCGGAGATGTAGCGCTGGCAGTAGGCGCAGCGCACACTGTGGAGGCACTGGTAGTCGCGGTAGTCGCGCTCGCAGTACGGCACGCCGCCGCGCCCAGTGTGCTTGAGCATGTGGAAGTGTAAGTGGTTGTGTATGTTGTGTACGGTGTGCACGCACCTGCAACACCTTGCCGGAGATGTAGCGCTGGCAGTAGGCGCAGCGCACACTATGGAGGCACTGGTAGTCGCGGTAGTCGCGCTCGCAGTACGGCACGCCGCCGCGCCCAGTGTACTTGAGCATATGGAAGTGTAAGTGGTTGTGTATGTTGTGTACGGTGTGCACGCACCTGCAACACCTTGCCGGAGATGTAGCGCTGGCAGTAGGCGCAGCGCACACTGTGGAGGCACTGGTAGTCGCGGTAGTCGCGCTCGCAGTACGGCACGCCGCCGCGCCCAGTGTACTTGAGCATGTGGAAGTGTAAGTGGTTGTGTATGTTGTGTACGGTGTGCACGCACCTGCAACACCTTGCCGGAGATGTAGCGCTGGCAGTAGGCGCAGCGCACACTGTGGAGGCATTGGTAGTCGCGGTAGTCGCGCTCGCAGTACGGCACGCCGCCGCGCCCAGTGTACTTGAGCATGTGGAAGTGTAAGTGGTTGTGTATGTTGTGTACGGTGTGCACGCACCTGCAACACCTTGCCGGAGATGTAGCGCTGGCAGTAGGCGCAGCGCACACTGTGGTGGCACTGGTAGTCGCGGTAGTCGCGCTCGCAGTACGGCACGCCGCCGCGCCCAGTGTGCTTGAGCATGTGGAAGTGTAAGTGGTTGTGTATGTTGTGTACGGTGTGCACGCACCTGCAACACCTTGCCGGAGATGTAGCGCTGGCAGTAGGCGCAGCGCACACTGTGGAGGCACTGGTAGTCGCGGTAGTCGCGCTCGCAGTACGGCACGCCGCCGCGCCCAGTGTACTTGAGCATGTGGAAGTGTAAGTGGTTGTGTATGTTGTGTACGGTGTGCACGCACCTGCAACACCTTGCCGGAGATGTAGCGCTGGCAGTAGGCGCAGCGCACACTGTGGAGGCACTGGTAGTCGCGGTAGTCGCGCTCGCAGTACGGCACGCCACCGCGCCCAGTGTACTTGAGCACGTGGAAGTGTAAGTGGTTGTGTATGTTGTGTACGGTGTGCACGCACCTGCAACACCTTGCCGGAGATGTAGCGCTGGCAGTAGGCGCAGCGCACACTGTGGTGGCACTGGTAGTCGCGGTAGTCGCGCTCGCAGTACGGCACGCCGCCGCGCCCAGTGTGCTTGAGCATGTGGAAGTGTAAGTGGTTGTGTATGTTGTGTACGGTGTGCACGCACCTGCAACACCTTGCCGGAGATGTAGCGCTGGCAGTAGGCGCAGCGCACACTGTGGTGGCACTGGTAGTCGCGGTAGTCGCGCTCGCAGTACGGCACGCCGCCGCGCCCAGTGTGCTTGAGCATGTGGAAGTGTAAGTGGTTGTGTATGTTGTGTACGGTGTGCACGCACCTGCAACACCTTGCCGGAGATGTAGCGCTGGCAGTAGGCGCAGCGCACACTGTGGAGGCACTGGTAGTCGCGGTAGTCGCGCTCGCAGTACGGCACGCCGCCGCGCCCAGTGTGCTTGAGCATGTGGAAGTGTAAGTGGTTGTGTATGTTGTGTACGGTGTGCACGCACCTGCAACACCTTGCCGGAGATGTAGCGCTGGCAGTAGGCGCAGCGCACACTATGGAGGCACTGGTAGTCGCGGTAGTCGCGCTCGCAGTACGGCACGCCGCCGCGCCCAGTGTACTTGAGCATGTGGAAGTGTAAGTGGTTGTGTATGTTGTGTACGGTGTGCACGCACCTGCAACACCTTGCCGGAGATGTAGCGCTGGCAGTAGGCGCAGCGCACACTGTGGAGGCACTGGTAGTCGCGGTAGTCGCGCTCGCAGTACGGCACGCCGCCGCGCCCAGTGTACTTGAGCATGTGGAAGTGTAAGTGGTTGTGTATGTTGTGTACGGTGTGCACGCACCTGCAACACCTTGCCGGAGATGTAGCGCTGGCAGTAGGCGCAGCGCACACTGTGGAGGCACTGGTAGTCGCGGTAGTCGCGCTCGCAGTACGGCACGCCGCCGCGCCCAGTGTACTTGAGCATGTGGAAGTGTAAGTGGTTGTGTATGTTGTGTACGGTGTGCACGCACCTGCAACACCTTGCCGGAGATGTAGCGCTGGCAGTAGGCGCAGCGCACACTGTGGTGGCACTGGTAGTCGCGGTAGTCGCGCTCGCAGTACGGCACGCCGCCGCGCCCAGTGTGCTTGAGCATGTGGAAGTGTAAGTGGTTGTGTATGTTGTGTACGGTGTGCACGCACCTGCAACACCTTGCCGGAGATGTAGCGCTGGCAGTAGGCGCAGCGCACACTGTGGAGGCACTGGTAGTCGCGGTAGTCGCGCTCGCAGTACGGCACGCCGCCGCGCCCAGTGTACTTGAGCACGTGGAAGTGTAAGTGGTTGTGTATGTTGTGTACGGTGTGTACGCACCTGCAACACCTTGCCGGAGATGTAGCGCTGGCAGTAGGCGCAGCGCACACTGTACAGGCACTGGTAGTCGCGGTAGTCGCGCTCGTAGTACGGCACGCCGCCGCTCCCAGTGTACTTGAGCACGTGAAAGTGTAAGTGATTGTGTATGTTGTCTACGGTGTGCACGCACCTGCAACACCTTGCCGGAGATGTAGCGCTGGCAGTAGGCGCAGCGCACGCCGTACAGGCGCTGGTAGTCGCGCTCGCAGTACGGCACGCCACCGCGTCCCATGTACTCGCCGCGCAGCACGGCGCCGCACTCGCCGCACGCGAAGCACCACGTGTGCCACTGCCTGACCACACAACACTAACGTATATAATCCGAGAACACGGCTACGGAAAAACTACCTACTTCTACCGAAGCGACGGCACCATAACGAATATTTGGATGTATAATGAAAAAAAAACTCCCGCCCCGTAAGGTGTTCAGCCCGAGGAGCGGCCAACGCTAACGCGGTGTTGTGTTAGTACAGAACTGTTCTATATATAGCACAATACTTCGGAACTTCAATAGCGTAATTTAGGCTTAGATGCGTTTCGCTTGTGGGGCGATGACAGCGCCGCCACATTACCCCCCTACTCAGACCAGCGGTCGATAATGCAGCCTGGTTTCCACTAGGTCCTTAATGCCGGTGGGGCGGTACTGTTGTCGCGCACAAATAGAATCAGGCATTACTTTTCGGAAATATATTATATTAGAGACGTTATAAATAATCAGCTAACTTACGCGTACCGCTGACTTGGCAGTCAGCCACCACAGTCTATTTTGCTCGAGGATTCCTCGTTTAGAGGCGAAACAAGTGTCGTATTATGGACAGTGGTGTCTTTCCTAGCGTGATGTAAGGAATGGTGATGCAGAGATTATTTCACGCTATTGAAGGAGGGCGGAAGGAGCTCTTCAAAATAGGCGGTGCCTCGGAAAGTACGTAACGTCAAGCTGTTAGTCCTGCGCATGATGTATCTCCAGTCCTGTCGGATTACCATCTTATCGGAATATGATCGAGCGGAAAAAAGAGTGCAGTGCACTGCTACGCAGATGGGTGGTATCCGGTGAGACTGGTCGTCGTGACCGACATTCAGTCTGGAGGATATTGTTATGGTAAGGGTATTCAGGTTTATTTATTTCACGTCGTCATATTATATAAGTTACTATGGTCAAAATATTGGCTTATAAGAATTTATACAACTCCGGGATTTTTTTTAAATTACAACAGATTGTATTTTAAATTTAATATTTCGTAGACATGTGAAGTTCACCACCACACATTCTGGCAGTGCGCCGGACAATTCCTTGCCCCAAAACCCTCTCAGAATTGAGAGGAGAGCCATCACTGGGACGTATATATATCCTGTAACTTTAACTTTTTTCTTAACTGTATTTTAAATTTGCTTCGCAGCGAACCGTATGTAAGCAATAACAATATGTAAACATATGTAAGCAATCAATACCCCACCAGCCCGACACGTGTACAATTTGCCGGTCAATTGACAATTCAATTGAGTGAACCCCTTATACCAAATGATATCCTTCTTTAATTACAAAAATCAATGACAAAACACACTCGTGTGGTTTCAATAGCAGATTTTTTCATCGATTTAAAACGTCCAAGGTCAATCACACAACAAAATCATCAAAGTCAAACAAAAAATTGAAAGACAAAAAACGAAATGTTCTCGAAAGAAGCAAAAAATTATGCCAACAATACAAGTAATTGTGTACATGGTCAGCGGTGAATTATTTTTAAGTTTTTTTTTTAGCAAAGATTAATACTTTTTAAATTTACTCAACGTTTTACTATGATGTACAACTAACCGTATGAGCAAAAGAAACTATCCTTTCCATTTTTTCAATACATTGTATTGACATATAAAGATTGCAAGTTATTAACTAAAAAATATTCCTCATATACAACTTGAATCCATTATTAAGCTGATTATTTAGTGAAATTTAGCTTTTCCAGTTGGTACATGTAGGTCCCTATTACTGTACTGCTTATTAGGAATAGCAAAAAGTTACTGCGAAAAGTAGTAAATGCAGTATGCACTCTGAGTTTGAATGGTATGTATAAAAAACATAATAAGCGACGTGCAGCGACAGTCTATAGTCTTTTTTTTTGAAGTTTGTGGTAGGTTCATGAGCTGCATTGGCGGATACTGTTTGATAGACTGATAGCTCATTTATCACTTTATCGCTATAAGACTATGTGCAACGTGAAGGCGATATATTTTCTGGTTCATAGATGTATCTTTTGTACGCAATAATGTATAGATGACTAGCCTATCAGGATCACCACTCACCTATCTAAAGCGACTAAGGCCTGACCCTCGGAGAGTTCTTGTCCACAGCCTGCGCAATCTGAAAAAGGAAAGCAAACAATAAAGGCCCATTCGAGTAAATTCATGAAGAATTCGTCTGTAGAGTCTTTGGCTTGTTTGAAATAATTCATATTGTTCTCTAGAAATTTCGTCGCTTCAAAAATATATTATAGACAAGAAAGTGTCAAAATTTTCAAGATTTAAACAAAAGTTGACATAGGTCGTCAGGTACTCGTCAGGTCGTAGGTATCACATATTGCTCTACCACACTTTTTTGCGCAATTAACGCCTTTTGTATGTCCGTGTTATTACCCCATACGACGAGTCCGTATCGCAAGACTGATTCAACGTAAGCAAAGTACGCAATAAGGGCTGTACTCTTTCCTGCTATTTTTTGTTAATTTATAAATTGCAAACGAGAAACGATTGATTTTATTGCACACTTTTTCGACTTGTTGTTTCCAATCAAATTTTTGGTCAAATTTTATACCCAAGAATTTCGTTGTTATTGTATTTTTCAGTATTTGTCCTTCACATTTTACATTTAATGTTAGATTTTGTAAATTATAAAAGTTAGTTAAATTCGTTTTGTCAATATTAATAATAACTAAATTATTATATTTAAGCCGAATTATTTGAATTATAGATTCATTAATGTCATTTTTGTGGCCATCTAATGTCAATTTGTTATCAGTTGTCACGATTCAGTGTTATCAGTTGTATCGATGCTTGGTCACACTTAGGAGATTATTAATATAAATCTGGAACAGAACAGTTTCCGGTATACTTCCTTGAGGAAAGCCAAACTTATTTTCCCTAAACCCAGATCTCTAGTTTTCCGCTACATGGTTAAAGCCAAGTTTTGCGATTTCGACTGATTGCATTCTATTCTGCAAGTATGTTTTTATCCAGTTCAAAGTAGTACCTCAAACGCCGCAGTGAACTTTACTAGAAGTTGATCATGCGAAACAAAATCGAAAGCTTTCGACATATCTAATAAGAGCGCCCTCGTATATTGTCTGTTGTTTAGTTGTATAAAGGTCTCATTCACTAAGTCATCATTCACTAAGTCATATATCGCATGTGTAGTGGATTTACTTTTTTCGAAATCCATATTAATTGTGTTTGAGTATATGATATTTATCGAAAAACGATGTAAATTTTTCCATGCATAACCTTCGCATGCACTTTGGGTAGGACAGGAACCAGCGTAATGGGCCGGTAGTAACTTACGAGTGTTTTTTTTCCTTTTTATATAATGGCTTCACCGATGAGAATTTTAATTTGTCTGGAAATATTCCAGATACCATTGACTGACTTATCAGAAACACCAAAACAGCGCCTAATTGTACATTTCATATCTTGATAATCTTTGTAGATACTTCGTCGTATCCTTCTGAATTTGTGTTATACAGTGATAAAATTATTTTCTTAACATAATATTCGTTAATGAGGGTCAAATCATCATCATCATCATCATAACAGCCCTTCACAAGTCCACTGCTGAACATAGGCCTCCCCCAAGGAATGCCACAAAGCACGGTCCTGAGCCACCTGTATCTATCAACTTCCTGCATGTCTTACCAAGTCGTCGCTCCATGTAGTGGGGGGACGCCCTACACTTTGCCTGCCGGTACGAGGCTGCCACTCGATAACCTTTTTTCCCCATCGGTTATCGGTTCTTCGAGCTATATGGCCAGCCCATTGCCACTTCTGCCGTTCTACTGCGGATAACCTCATTCCTAAGTTTATCACGACGATAAGATGAACATGGACAAAACAAAGATCATGTTTAATGTCTATGTCCTATGCCGGTAGTTGTTGGGAGCACTTTGCTCGAAGTTGTTGACGAGTACGTTTACCTGGGACAAATAGTCCGACTAGGTAAGTCCAACTTCGACCGAGAGGTCAATCGACGGATTCAACTCGGCTGGGCAGCGTTCGGGAAATTACGACATATCTTCTCGTCAGGTATACCTCAAAACCTGAAAACTAAGTTGTACAACCAGTGCGTGTTGCCAGTGATGACTTACGGATCTGAGATGTGGTCCTTCACTGCTGGCCGTATGAGGACGCTCAAGGTCGCTCAGCGTTCTATGGAGAGGGCTATGCTCGGTGTTTCTCTGCGTGATAGACTCAGAAATGAGGATATCCGCAGTAAAACCAGATTGACCGACATAGCCCAACGGATTAGTAAGCTGAATTGGCAATGGGCCGGCCATATAGCTCGAAGAACCGATAATCGATGGGGAAGAAGGGTTCTCGAGTGGCAGCCTCGTACCGGTAGGCGAAGTGTAGGGCGACCCCCCAATAGATGGAGTGACGACCTGGTAAGATATGCAGGAAGTCGATGGATGCAGGTGGCTCAGGACCGTGCTTTGTGGCATTACTTGGGGGAGGCCTATGTTCAGCAGTGGACTTGTGAAGGGCTGTAATGATGATGACGATGTGGTAACTTGGTTTTAGGGACCAAATATATGATCCCAGTAGTGAAGAGGCTCGGGAACCACTTCTGGTCGAGAGCCTCTTGAAACTGTATGGCGAGCCAGCGTGACTCACCACGAACCCCTTCAGCCAGTAGTGATGCAGTCCGACGAGCCACGGACTTTTCCAGTTCGAGGCGCTTCGGCCCGCATCAGCTACGTCGTCCATAGTTATGATGACGGGGTCCATGAGCGTAACATTCGCACACTGACTCACCACAACTTCTGTCCAAGGGCCCTCGCTGTGGTTTACGGGCTCTGACCACAGGCCACGCCAGAATGCGACAGTGTCAGCCTGATTCGGTGCCGGGCCCGTTCCACGTACCATTGATAGCTCCAATGATTTGAAGAGGCTCCTGTGATCACTCTGGAAGAGACCATTCTAGTTGAACCATGTAGACCTCTAGGTATATCGTCGAGTCCGCTTCCCCCAAGCAGCTATTCTCTGCTTCAGGTCGTCTACACACTCCATCAGTTTTTACGTATATATCCGGCTGGGAAAAAAAGATATTTGCCACAACAAATTTGTGTGCACAATTCTCGACTTAATATTGCCCGACCTGGAGGTTGTCAGTCTGCCGATGTGAGCCCTTGCCTTTGCGATACGGTCCTCGATCCTTTTTCTCCAGGCTGGGATAGCACTACTTTTCCCAGTAGCGCGTCCAGGCGTGGGAAGTTTGGGACCAACAATGCTGCAAACTGCCAAAGCAGCGCCTGTTGCCAGTCGCTGGTTTCCAAGTAGATTGCCAGCAATGGGTTCAGGGTTCAGGGCAGTTTTGTCACTTAACTTATTACGTCAGCGGGCGATGGGGTCGTCACTTCCCTATGCTATTTTATTATTATTATACTATTCCTCATTAATCTGAATATCATAAACAAAAATGATTTTTCAAATCGGAATTGTGTAAGCAAGCCACAGATTAGCGTGTTTAAACAAACAAAGGAACTCTTCCGATTTATTATATTAGTATAGAATAAAGCATTACTGACTTATTAATTCCAGACGATAAATTAGTTCTTTTGACTGTACTATACACCGATGTAAACGTTGACAAAGTGTGCACAATTGTACAAAAGGCAGGATGTTGAGCTGCAATTTAAATGAGACGCACATGCGCACGCTTTTCGTTCTGATACCTCGTTAAACTATTCAGTGAATTACAGATATGGACAGATATAGTTTCAACATTTGAAATTAATTTCGTCGAACTAAATGCTATAAATGAATATAAATAAAGCGTCTTAGGAAGAAAGAGATAGAAAAGGATTAAAAAACTCAAAACAAATAATATCTTTATTTGTGAAAATATATAATGCCATCAAAAACATAACTTGTTAAAAAAAAAACCAAGTCTCGCAACTTAGTTCTTCTACGTAAAAAGTTGTGAGATTCATATAAGTTCTAAGTCGGTTAATTTATACAGTCCCTACTTAAGAATCCTTCTGCTTTAAGTTTTACGCAATTAGCTAACCCAACATCTTATAGTGACCATATCAATGTTAAAAATCTTTTATGTTTTAAATTAGCAGATTGGCTTGGCCATCGCATGAAAACACAACGTGTCTCACAATTAATTAGATTGTTTGGTATATCTTTATATGGTATTACAAAGTTATTACTGCAGTTGGTGTATCTAGAAAACTGGACCGAAATTTAAAAATATTTTAGTTTTTCCTTGATACACTAAACACTAATTTTATTCTAAATTTGTAGCTTCTGTGTCTGCTAGAAGTAAGTGCCTTAGAGTTTTGATGATCAGTTAGTCAGTGAGTGATAAAATTAAGAAACTTTGACTAGTTATAATTATTAAACTACTAATTCAAATTGAGTTAAATTTGAAATATACCACGTTTATACAATGCCCGCTTGGTCTCTGAAAATTCAGGTTCCTATTTTATTCCAAACGAAGTCATAGGTGAGTCGAAAATGGCCGGAACTGCTTCGAGAAAAGTACGGTACGGCCGTGCCGCTTTTGTTACTCGACTTGGCGGGGTCACTACTGTGCCCCCAGATATACACATTTAATATAGGTTATTAACTTAATGAATATTATTCTTTAACACAAAAACAAAATTCAACGCCGTAAATTCATTAAATCCGTTTATTTAGATATAAAATAATTTATTGTGTTCTTAACTTTTTAGTTAATAGATGTATAAGATTTATTTCCAAAAACTAAACGAATGGTTAAGCCATGGATAACGCCTGGTATCTTACGACGTATTAAATATTGAAATAAGAATAATATCTGATCCTTTAAAAGAGGCACTGTATTGAAGGATCTTTTTTTAAACTGAATCGCAAATATGAAATGGAAAACTTGACTAGATCTGCTAACATCTTAAACATGGCTTGGGAAAATATTACAAGAATATATCACAAACAAAAACCGACAACGACTATCTTGAACTACTCAAGTCAAAACAAACTTCGACAGAATCGGTTAATTACATTAATTATTTTTTGCGAATATAGGAAAAAAATGTTGCAGATAAGCTGCTCGGGACCACCACTAGACACGCTGTCAATGTTCTTCGTTTGTTCTAGAGAACACTT